AATGCATCTAAGTTCAACTTTGTATAAGGTAGTTGGAATGTAGTCAACAAAAAGAATGGTACATATTCCAAATTGACCTACTCCCAAATATTAAATATGACCTTAGACTGTCCTAGTTGTATTCTTAAAAGCTAGGATGTTGTTCAGCTTAAAAAAAGAAAAAATAAAGATCAAAGACCTATAAATGGTACTTTTAACACATGGAAGCATGTGTAAAAAAACTAGTTAAGGAGACGATTAAACAAACATGCATTACTTTTTGTCATAATTCTTTTGAATTCTATTTCTAGTCTTTTTCTTTTAATGTATTATTTATCAAATCATTTATCAATGCATTTGCATTGCATACTTTAATTTAGGGTGGATGCTTTGTCCACATGTGTCTAAAAACTGACCACCAAGATAAAGCCAATGTGTTGAAAATGAAACCACCAACTGCCAAGCAATCATCCACGTATGTTTAGTTTTACTGTGAATTATTTGACATTTTGAATTCAAAAATATTTACTTGTAAACAATTTTAAATTAGAGTACCTGATGAAGATAATACAAGAAACAGTAGAAGTACGCGTGTAATTTAGTCCCTTGGTAAACCTCGACAGATTCCGCTATCCTACATGATAGTTAGATCTGCCAAAGTGTGCCGAAGTGTGCCGATTGTGAATTTAGTCTTGGCATATTCTGTCACTGTAGGTGTAAACATAATGTTTTAACCTGAAGAAAATTTTGAATCGGGATAATTTATGAATTTATACATTTGTACATGAATTAATGCAAATCTGTTTACCTATTATAGTATATTCCAACGAACAGTATTTGACTGATCCGAACTATTTTACATAGTATCACATTTGAACGAGATTTCAAAATCAGAGCTATGCGTTTTTCGTTCATTACACGTAGTTATTTTTATAAATTTTTTAATCATTTTTCCTTGTAGAAAAAAAAATACACACATACATGTAGCTTTACAACGACACACAGAAAAATCTCGATTTTAATTTTTTTTTCGGAATAATAATATTTTAGATCTATCACATATATTTATTTATTCTTTTTCTTTGCACAATGTCCATAAGTTTAGAAAAGATGGGTATATATTCATGAATAAATTGTGTCACTCAATTCTGGGACCAATAGATATATAAGAAAAGACGTCCGTGATAATAATCGATAACTTAATCTCAATGTCAGATTTTTGCCTGAGGATTTTGTTCTCGTTGTGTATGGTTCGTGTACAATGTACATATTTTGAACATCTATGTGAAAAATATTTATTATTAATAAGCAATATCTATAAATGTATAATGGAAAACAATATTGCTTGTATATTGAGCGATAAGAACTTCAATCTTTGTCGAAGATGGCACATTATATCACTAATTTAATTATGAACTTGTTTTCTCGAGAAATGAATGGTATATGCTATCCACATGTTTTCTTGGTGTAGATTTATATGTTTTGGAGTTTAGTGTGACGTCCATTTTCACTGTACTAGCACACAATTTTATTTAGGGGCCAGCTGAGGACCACCTCCGGGTGCGGGATTTTCTCGCTGCATTGAAGACCCATTGGTGGCCTTCGGCTGTTGTCTGCTCTTTGTTCGGGTTTTCTCTCTTTGATATATTCCCCATTTCCATTCTCAATTTTATCTTCAAACAGATAATCTACAGAGGCCCTTTCACTAGCGAGTTATTCCCCAACCACGCTGGATTTAGTTTCAATGTTCATAGTAGACGTGACTGCGTATTTAAACATCCCATGCATGCAGACGATTGTCCTTACAACAGAAGTCTCACTTGCCTCACGAAAAGTCCAGTCACTTGAAATATACTTCTATACACTTAGATATTCTTTGCATACATAGGGAATTTATAATTTGTACACATTACAATTTGTACACAGCATATACACCACATAGCTTAGCATCAGATATATAGAATCTCAATAACATACCTGACACGAAGCTTAAATTACAAAAAGAAAATAACGCATATTTTATTGTTGAATAGAAATAGAAAAAAGAAAAATAACAGAAATACCGAAGTCCGTTGCAATGAAAATCAAACGGAAAGTCCCTTGTCAATTGACAAAATCAAAAGCTCAAACACATCAAACGAAACTATTGACTTTTAAACTGTTCGGGTAAATTTGCATATTTAGTACACTTCTTACTATACACTGCGTTTAAAAATACAATTGAAAAGATATTATCTGAATATACATCATTGAAACATACTACACATTCCTTCGACGTATTTAAAATAAAAAATGATAGGGATGCCATAATACATTGACCAGTGTGATATTACGAGTGAAACTTCATAAAATTGAATTTCTGAAAACAAAACAATCATGCTCACAAACTCATGGCATAATAACTGATTAAATATGTTCACTATTAATAGTCGTAGCTTTCGATAACAGACTCGGGAAGATTTAGAGATTGAACACATTGTACATACTACCTGTATTATTGTTTGAAATCCACGACGAATATGATCACGTACCGCTCTTTTCCTGACTAGTTTTCTTAACAGTCATTTTTCTTAATAGATATAAGAAGATATGGTATGAGTGCCAATGAGACAACTCTCCATCCAAGTCACAATTTGTAAAAGTAAACCATTATAGGTCAAAGTACGGCATTCAACACGGAGCCTTGGCTCACACCAAACAGAAAGCTATAAAGGGCCCCCGAAATGACTAGTGTAAAACCATCCAAACAGGAAAACCAACGGTCTAATCTATATAAAAAACGAGAAACGAGAAACACTTATGAACCACATCAACAAACGACAACCTCTGAACATCAGGTTCCTGACTTAGGACAGGTGCCAACAAATGCAGCGGGTTTTAACGTTTAAACAGGCGCCAACCTTCACCCTACCTGAAACAATAGTGTAACATCACAACATAGAAAGACACACTATAAAATATCAATTGAAATGGCTTAACTCAATCAAAAGACATATTAACAAAAACAAGTGAGCATACCCTGATATCTATTTTTCTCCTATTTAAATGTTTTTCAAATGACCAGAGTTGGTTGTTCCATTTTTTTTTTAATGGACAGGTATAGCGTCTCGATGTAATGTTTTTTCGTGTTTATTATAATAAAGTGACATTTGTTTAATTTTTTTCAATTAATATAAGCAAGAAGCATCATTTTTTCAGCTACTAGTTATAAATATTTAACCTAACAATTTCGACTCATGAGAGTTTTAAATCACCTGACTGAAAATATAATAATTTCCTTAATCTTTTACCGTTTTATTTATTTCGAATGCTAGCCTGGGATCCTGGCTAACTGTTTGACAGTTAACTGAATCGACAAGAAGGATAGGCCATGATGCCAGGCTTTTCAGAATGCATACAGAGACTTCGAATATGTTAGTACCCTCGTATTCAGTGTCGACCCATGATGCATCATTGCTCTCAAGGAGTACCTCGTAGAATTTTATTTCCCAATCATAACCAATTCAATATATTAAGTCTACGAGATTGCACATACTTTTTATGGCCTATTTGTCTTTAGTAGTAACAGCTCAATATAGTCATATTAAGGATGTACTCAGGTGAGGTTTGTGAATTGTTGTCAGATGTTCGAACTTCTTGGGTGTTTTCCTACGATACAGGGTAAAATATTTTGCGCCATATCACCCAATTTTCTTTTCATAGAAGACTCCAATACCTCATAAAAAGGTCATTACCAGTTAAGCAGATTCTTGATTTGATTTGAGACCCTATTAATGTCAATGCTAAATATAAGGTAAAAGTCCGAGTCAGCCTTTTCCCGCAATTTTTTCAAAATCAAATATCTCAAAAAGGAGTTGCATAACCTATCAGTATTTTAAGCTTATTTTGTTCCTTAACTAATATTCTTCTGACTTATAGCATCAATTTTAAATTCTAGATTTTTTTTTATTTTCACCTAAGTACATCCTTAAAACGTCATTGAAGAATACAAAATGAAAATAAATATATATATATTCTGTCAGGCAAAAACGGAATAAAAAATATAAATGATAGGACTGTGTATTTCATAATTAATTATGTTAATTCATTCCGATAATTAGTAAACTGACACATTCTTTGCATATCTCATTGAAGAATTGAAAAATGAAAAAGAAAATAACAAAATTCCATTCCTTGTGCTATATGACGACAGCGCTGCACAATCGTATCTGTCTATTATTTCACCATAAAAAATCGAACCTTTATGTATGTATGTGTATACTCGTGTCTTATATTTTTTTGTGAAATGTCTTCTTTTTGTTTCTTTTTTTTTTCTTTTTTTTAAGTGGGGCCGGGGGGGGGGGTTAGTTTTTTTTCTTTTAACGTCTCTTCCATTTTTTGCATTTGGAAATTTAGATAATAAAGAAGTGAATCAATAACATGACCTTGAAATAAACGTATACATTTTTGTCACATTCGATGGTTTACTCTCTTCTAAAAGTGTTAATTGATTTGTGGTCATTTCTGTCCAAATATTACATGTACATTAGGCCGAGAACAACAATATATAATATATATACCTTATATTATCAAATTAATGTTTAAGTTAATATAATTCTGGCGAAATCATTCTGTAGTAGTATTGTTTCCATGTTTCCATGCGGTTTCTGACAATAATGTATATATGAGGATCTGGATGGGGTTTACAGGATATATAATAATCGGTCAAATCTGCAGAAAAATCGGCCATAAAAAGAAAAATAGAGAACAATAGGCCCAAAAAATAGATAATAATTGGGTGCTAAAATATAAAGAATAGAGAAAAAAGGCAAATATTTATAAAAAATAGAAACAAATTACCTAAATGATTAAAGAAACAGAAATGAAAGACCCCCATCTAGACCCTCACAAATGATGTAACATAACCAACGGCACTACTAAAAGATTACAACCAACTTACATCGAAAACCGGAAGACAATTTATTTTCTTTTTTTTTTCATTCTTGTTTATTTTAGGAACTACGTGATGTCTGTTCGTAAATTATTAGCATCCGTAATAATAACCTTAAATATTTTCTCTTGTATTGGAATATTATTTACGTGTACACAACATTTTGAAGATTCTAAGAGGACTGCATATGAGCTGGCGGAATACATAGAATCTTTGGACGGGTATAACGAGTTAAAAAGGTAAATAAATAATTATACATGTTAAGTTGATAGATATATGCTTTATTCTGATAAGCCTTAGTTTTAACAATAGGTACATATGTGGCGGATTTAGGGATTGATTAAAAAATATCAGTTTTTAGCATGAAATCGTCCAAAAGTTTTATATATTCAGTTTTCAGAAATTACCCCCTCCCCCTTTTTCACAAATCCTGGATCCGCCCCTTGTAACTGCAATAATTTAAACAAGTGGCTAGCTAACATACAATGTCGAAGAATGAGTTTACATGAGAACGTCAGGTTAGACAAATGATAAATTTAAGTACAATGTACAAGCAGTAAACAAAGACCGTCAAAAGTATTTAAGTACAGCTTTATCTTAAAACCAGTCAGGGGACGTTGAAACATAGACAAATGGTATTTTTTAATGAAATAAAATAAAATGATGCAGGAATGCGATTCGTTGTACGACTTTTCATCTAAATGAAGAAAATCATATAGTTTTATGCCATAGTTTTTTGTAGTTGGTTTTTTGTTTTTTTTGTTTTTTTTTACAAAAACAGAATATGCTTTGTTTGATAAGCATTTTTAAACTTAACTTTATAGGGGTAAGTAACTCAGATAAATCAAATTTCATAAAGGATTGTACAGTATTTTTTCTATCATGTATTATAGAAAGAAATACGGTGGCATAATTTATTTCACTTTGATTTGTTAAAATGACATTAAATAAGAGCTATCTTCTTAAGTTGAGTGACATATATTTTAAACTATAATAACTTTTGAAAAATTAAACAATATAAACTACCTTTCGGCAAAGGAATAAAACAATTTCTGACTTTTTTTTTTATAACCCCATTTTTCAACTAGAGTAACAATTGAATTTGTGCTTTCTTTCATAGAATTTCAGAAAGATTAGAGGTCAAAATCTCGGAGGAATGTAATAGAAATACAACAACACCTCCTAATCCTGTTTCTTTGTACCTATACGCAACAACTGTCGCCGAAGCTTTAAATTCAATCACAGATATAATCAACAGGACAGACGATGTTCAACTAAAAGGTAATATTTTTTTAAAACGGTGCGGTTATTATATAAAAATCACTGATTTTCGTTCCCGTCCAAATTTTTGTTATTGCCAAATCAAGACTTTTTTTATTTTTGCTAGAAGTTTTCATGAAAAGACAATAATTATATACCCCTCCCCGCCTCATTTTTTGTAAAAAAAAAATGGATGAAATTTTGTGTTTGTTTTTAATGATTTGATATGCTTGCTGATGAGACAAGTTTCCATCACTATGACAGCATGTGTTAGATTTCTTTGCTCGTCGTAGTCAATCGACAAAACATCGGCAGATTCCGCTACCTTACTGTATTAGATTGTTAGATTTCTTTGCCTGTCGTAATAGATCGGCAAACTTTGGCAAATTCCGCTACCTTACATCAGATTGTTTGATTTCTTTGCCCGTTGTAATAAATCGGCAAACCTCGGCAGTTTCCGCTACCCTTCGTCAGATTGTTAGATTTGCCGAGGTGTGCCGAATGCGTCGTAGTCTGAAAATTGTTGATTTCACCCTGTACCTGTGTTCTTCAGTGCATATTTACATTTATTGACATCTACCAATTGAAATCATTCGGCTCAAACCGCTGCTACGGGTGAGTCCTGAACCTGAAGGATATTGTGCGATTTTGATTTTTGATAGATTGTCTCACTGTGACTTTGAGATGAAGCACAGCAACAAATACATTATTACTAAGTTTCCTTTGATTTTTTCAGAGTGTCATGCACTAATTCAACTCCATTAATTCTTAGTAAGTACATTAATACCTAATAAGTACAGAAACACAGCATTAGCCATTTTAATGACAACTCGTCCATTTTGATATACATTTTAGAAGATAAAAAGACTTTTTGATAAAGATAGGAAATGGCTTACCATTCTTCAGCAAATTTTTCCTTTTTTTCAGAAACAATGACATCATTCGTTTCAAATTTACCTACGGAAGCAGACGTTGATGGTGTCATTTTGTCATTTGTAAGGTTACAAAACACTTACAACGTATCTGCACGTGACATTGCTAGCGGTAACATATTTGGATTTAAAGTGCCAAAACTTACAGGTAACCTTACAATTGTCTTCAATTTTATTTTTAGCAAACGATTAAGTGTTTTTTTCTTTCCTAGATTCAATTGTTCAAGTGACATAGCTATATCTATAATCAGGGATCAATAAGAAAATAAAACTCTCAAATAAAAGCATTTATTTATGTCGTTGGTTTGCTGTCTCATTAATGTATACCCGACGTCTAACCAAATGACTTATCCTATAATAAACCCGACATATCGCCAACTGACATACCCCATAATAAACCTGACATATCACCAACTGACAAACCCTATAATAAACCCGGCATATCACCAACTGGCATACCCTATAATAAACCCGACATCTAATCAACTAACATACCCTATAATAAACCTGACATCTCAACAAATGACATACCCTATAATATACCCGACGTCTCACCAACTGACATATCCTATAATAAACCCTACATCTCACCAACTGACCAACCTTATAATAAACCAGACATCTCACCAACTGGCATATCCTATAATGAACCCGACATCACACCAACTGACCAACCCTCTAACAAACCCGACATTTCACCAACTGACAAACCCTATAATAAACCCGACATCTCACCAACTGACATACCCTATAATAAACCCGGCATATCACCAACTGACAAATCCTATAATAAACCCGACATCTCACTAACTGACAAACTCTATAATAAACCCGACATCTCACTAACTGACATACCCTATAATAAACCCGACATCTCACTAACTGACAAACCCTATAATAAACCCGACATCTCACTAACTGACAAACCCTATTATAAACCCGACACCTCAGCAACTAACCAACCCTATAATAAACCCGACATCTCACTCACTGACAAACCCTATAATAAACCCGACACCTCACCAACTGACAAACCCTATAATAAAACCGACATCTCACTAACTTACAAACCCTATTATTAACCCGACACCTCAGCAACTAACCAACCCTATAATAAACCCGACATCTCACTAACTGACAAACCCTATATTAAACCCGACATCTCACTAACTGACCAACCCTATAATTAACCCGACATCTAAGTAACTGACGTACCCTATAATAAACCCGACGTCTCACCAACTTGCATACCCTATAATATATCCGACATCTCACTAACTGACAAACCCTATAATAAACCCGACACCTCACCAACTGACAAACCCTATAATAAACCCGACATCTCACTAACTGACAAGCCCTATTATAAACCCGACACCTCAGCAACTAACCAACCCTATAATAAACCCGACATCTCACCAAATGACATACCCTATTATAAACCCGACATCTCACTAACTGACAAACCCTATAATAAACCCGACATCTCACCAACTGGCAAACACTGTTATAAACCCGACATCTCTGTAACTGACAAACCCTATAATAAACCCGACACCTCACCAACTGACAAACTCTATTATAAACCCGACACCTCACAAACTGACCAACTCTATAATAAACCCGACATCTCACTAACTGACAAACCCTATAATAAACCTGACATCACACCAACTGACATACCCTATAATAAACCCGACATGTCACAAACTGACAAACCCTATAATGAACCCGACATCTCACTAACTGACCAACCCTGTAATTAACCCGACATCTAAGTAACTGACAAACCCTATAATAAACCCGACGTCTCACCAACTTGCATACCCTATAATAAACCCGACATCTCACCAACTGACATACCCTATAAGAAACCCGACATCTCACCAACTGACATACCCTAAAATAATCCCGACATCTCACCAACTGACATATCCTAAAATAATCCCGACATTTCACCAACGGATAACCCTAAAATAATCCCGACATCTCACCAACTGACATACCCTAAAATAATCCCGACATCTCACCAACTGACATACCCTATAATAAGCAGCATAAGAAATGACAGCAGATACTATGTCTTTACTTCGTTTATATTTGTAACATTTCATGTAAGATTGCAGTTAATGTTTTATATTTTGGGGCGACCATTCGATGTTTTTGGGGATTTGGCTGTAAAAAAGAGTATTTATTTTCAATCAATGAGAGGACAGCATATTCTATTTCCAACAGTTTGAAGGTTAGGATATTTATTTTCACACTGCCTTTGCAAAGTTATGGCATATTTTCAAAAACCTCAATTCACCGAATATCAAATGGCAGTCCCCCTATTAAGAACATAGAAGATATGACTGTATCGATTTCTGAATATTGCTATAGTAAAATGTACATCAGTTGTGAGTCGCAATGTGAAACTTTTTGTAAATTTTAGCAGCAAATGAGCTCACAAAGCGTCACATTGTGTCGGGTAGCTGATATTGTAATTGTAACAGCCACTATGTTCCGTCAGTTACTTTGTTCCGGCGGAACTTTTCAACTAGTTATTTCGTTCCGATGGAACTTTCCAACTAGTTGTTCTATTCCGAGTGCAGTCGAAAAGTTCCGGAAAAAAGTAGCTAGTTGAAAAGTCCCGGAACAATGTAGCTAGTTGAATAGTTCTGGCGGAACAGAACAACTAGTTACATCGTTCCGAATATATCATATTTCGTCCTTTTTGTAGAAAGAGGGGGAAGAATGAGTATCAGTATATATAAGAGCAAATCATTAATTTACAAGAATACCCAACGCACTGAAAGGGGTTTCTTTGGGGATAAATATGCAAAATTTAAGTTGTATTTCATAGCTCACATAAAACGGAATAAGTTGCATTATCATGCAAATTTAGTATTCATAGTACCCTCAAGAGAGGGAAAAATACCCCCCTCCTCATGTGGTTCTTTGCATCAATTCTCCAAATGGAACTTTGTGACTGGTTGATAAGTTCCGTTGGAATTTTTGGGCTAGTTTGTTAGTTTCGGTTTTGACTTATTTGCCAAAGAGGAACTTTGTGGCTAGTTGATAAGTTCCATTTGACTTTTGTAATCAGTATCTTGGTTTCCCTTTGAAAGGTTCAAATATAATATGTTGCGCTTTTACTTTGCATCAATTCTCCAAATAGAACTTTCTGCCTGGTTGATAAGTTCCGTTGGAACTTTTGGGCTAGTTTGTTAGTTCTGGTTTTGACTAATTTGGCAAAAAGGAACTTTCTAACTAGTTGATATGTTCCGTTGGAACTTTTCAACTAGTCACTTTGTTCCGGTGGAACTTTTAAACCAGAGGAAGAACAAAGTAACTAGTTCATAAATTCCTCCGGAACTTTTCGGCTAGTTAGTTCTTTCCGCCCGGAACTTTCCAACGTCGGAACAAAAGAGCATTTACATAATCACTCTGTGTAAAGAAAATCGAATGACAGTATTCGTTACATTTTATTAGGGATATAATTTATAATATATATGTTAATATATTATGCCGCAACTGTATCCTTTAATGCACAGATATTTCGTGATCGACATATATGAAATTAATACCGGATCGTTTTATATGCGCGCGTAGTGATTTTGTTTCAATTGACGTGAAGGTTGGGCTTTTATTTGCTAACTATATGAAGTCCGAATTTTATTCAGTATGCGAGTGACTGGGCCTTTGTCTTACACATCAGTAAATGCTTTCAATTTTTTTACTGTAATTAATATAATATACAGTCCTCATCCACAAACAAACTTAGGGGCTTCGGTGGCTGGCCGAGAGGTCTAAGTAGTCGAACTTCTGTATCACTAGCCTGTCAACACTGAGTTTGTGAGTTTAAATCCCGCACGTTTTTAGGTGCGCTCAACTCCAATCTAAATTCACTAAGATTGTTAGTTTTCCGACCGAATGTCGGTTGTTTTCTCCGCCAACAATTAATTAAAACTAACCGCCACGAAATAGCACAATAGTGCTGAAAGTTGAAGTGTAATTACGTGTATTAAAATAAAATATCCATCTTCACACTCTAAAAACGTTCTTCAATTCAACTGAAATTTAAACTGACTGCCACAAAATAGCACAATTGTGTTGAAAGTGGCGTTAGATACCAATCAATCAATCAATTTAACTGAAATTATCATTTTCTTTCTTTTCAGCTTTTGATTGTTTTGATATTGGATTATTTGTGTTTAAAAAAGGATATAACAGATTGGCCATACAATGGTTCTATACAACATTAACCAAACAACAAGAAATAGAGTCAACAAAACAGAACACAAAGATATTTCGTTCAATTGTCATTGGCTTAATTGAAAATGCAAAACGGCAAGTAGGTTTTTCTGAAGTAATTGAATTGAGACTTTTTGCAACCGTCTAAGCTTCCCTCCGTCCATATGTCATCTTGATATTTTTTATTCTACGTTCAACAACCCTAGGTTTGACAAAGTCCTTTGAAAAAACGTTTAATTTTGTGTCTTTCACCTTTTACTGTCTTGTGATTTTAGAGTTTGTGTCTTCTGAACTACATGTAGTTACGATTACCTAACTTTAACATGTTCCTTTATTTGAATCCTTATCATTATTGCCAGAAATCGTTTTAAAAATAACACATTGCTGAGAGGGTGATATAGCAGATTGTTACTTTGTATACCGAGGCAAAGCCGAGATTTTCAATATTTGTGTAGGGGTAACAATCTTTGTTATAACCATCTCAGCTTTTTTTTTTATGCCCTACCTACGATAGTAGAGGGGAATTATGTTTTTCAGTCTGTGCGTCCGTTCGTCCGTCTGTTTGTCCGTCCGTCTGTCCCGCTTCAAGTTAAAGTTTTTGGTCAAGGTAGTTTTTGATGAAGTTGAAGTCCAATCAACTTGAAACTTAGTCACGGTCCACTGAACATAGAAAATGATAGTGCGAGTGGGGCATCCGTGTACTATGGACACATTCTTGTTTTTATTATTATTAAACTGATTGTTCTGTTACTATTATATAACTGCACTAAATTTTTTTTTTTTTCGTTTAACTAGTTCCCTTTTATTTATAACGATATCGTAAAATTTACATATAATTATATTAACCAATAAGAATTCACCTTTTAACATTAAGTATGGCAAATTACATTGACGGAGACTAGGATGGTTCTTGGGATAAGAAATCATACATGCAAAGAATTACATGTTAAATGAAAACAAATTTTAATGTTAGCATCTTGATATCAAAATAAAGGAGATGTGGCTTAAATACCAATGAGACAACTATCCATAGACACAAAGGACATAATGAGATATCACTTACTAGTAGTAAATCTGGTGCGAACTAAGCACTTTTCTGGATTTACCTTCATCATGACAGCTTAAACCAAGAATTGTGACAAAATTATTTAATGGCAAAACATGGATAAAACCAGAGGATTTCGAATATCTGGCAAAAATTCAAAAACAAGAGGAGCGAACATCATAAAACCAAGAATTGTGAAAGCGAAGGGTGTATAAGTACTTGAATATGTCAGGAGTAATAAAAAAACTTTGACAAAAATGGACATAAAAAATAGCCATATCAATTTAAGGTAAACTTTTCCTGAGATAGTTGGAACTTCAGTTCGTAATGTGAACAATTACGCGTAAACGTATAGCCTCAAACAATGAGCAAAACACAATCCGTGTAGTAAGCTATTAAGTCATCCGTATGACAAAACTTAAAATAATTCAAATCATTATAATTATGTCAAAACATTTCAAAATTTCGATCCATTAAATTTCCGTCATTGCAAAGGTTACGTTTCATACTCTCATATACAAGTGAATTACATTCTTGTACAATTTCTTTGAATTAGTGAATTTTATTGATTTGGTATCCAATTAATCTCTAAATATTTTGAAATGTACACGTTAAAAGATATCTATAAATAATGATGCTTTTTAGTTAATTGTAAATAGTTACATGTATTGTCACCGTTTTTGGTTGCGACGTAACTGACATACATTGTACATCCCACATGATTATCATCTTTTATTTATCTTAACTTCCTATTGATTTTTTTTTAAATCACACAAAAGCCTTTTTTTATTTATAATTTCATCAAAAGTTCGTTTAATTACAGGAAGCTAAAGCGGAAAAGGAAACACGAATGAGAATAGCATTAACTACACTCAAAAAAGGTAATATCAAATGATACTTCGGTACTGGAATGTAAATACGGATATTATTTTATTGCAATTTGCTGTTATATAATTCGGTAGATTTTTTTTCAAATTAAGGAATGCATCTCCCTCATGCAAAGCTCTGATTCCATGTTCGTGTTTGTCTTTACTTTTGCTATGTATTTGTTTGCCAGCTGTTAGGCTTTTGTATCATTTTTGAGATTTTCAAAATTTTTGACCTCGAGCATCACTAATCCTCGAAATGTGCATCTAGTGTAGTACAAGTGGTACTTTTAATACTACTGTAACTCACTACATGATTTACAAGTTGAAACACGTCAGCTTTTAGATAAATAGGGGTTAACAAGGCTTTAATTTTTACAATTTTGTGACCTACAATTAGCTTTAAACTATCAACTTTCGAGTCTATTCTTTCAGGGAAATGAAAAAAAAATAAAATAAAGAAGAATTTGGCCACTCTTCATTAAATACTTTTTTTGTTGAATTTTCGGTACAAAAATTTGAGCGAACGAGCGAATTTTTTTCAGGAAAATATTTTAGCAAGCGATACAAGAAAATTGTTGATTTCATTTAAATGGAGCGATAATTCAGAAATTTTTCAAGGAATGGCGGTAAATATTTTTTTGAAGTTTCCACAATTTTGAAGCATTGGAACTTAAAAAAACTGTGAAAAAAATTGGAGTTGTCTTATGTCTTAATGTCACCCAAAAACCCGTTCTAACTGTTCAATTATCATATGATATATCTAACCAGGCAGACTTTGTTTATTGTTATGTGTATATGCCCGTGTTACCCTAAAGCTGACTGGGGAATAGAAATAATTTCACTTTGTTAAGAGGGGTACTACGCTCTCTGCACATTAAAAATCCTTGCAACAACTCTTTGAGGGTCCGTAGGTGGCCTGTTGCAAGTTCAAATTGTTGTGAATATCCAATATATCATCATTTTAGTGGCAGTTCAAATTTCTCTTACCTTCATCCTGGGCGACCTCTATTACAGGACCTACCCATTGGATTTATTGTTAATTTGCACTCGTCCCGAACATGTATGAAATATTTGCAACAGAACGTTAAGCAAACATCAACCAATCAATCTCAGCTCGTGCAAATAAATTGTAAAATTTACGACAATAAACGTTGATAGTCAAATTTTTCTGCTTTGAATGTAAGCAATTGTTTTCAACTTTTAATGATTTTGATAGGTGAAACATGCAAATTTGAATTCGGATTTATTGCAATTTTCATTATTTCTTATTGTAAATAGTTCGCTACTTTTTATTATACAGATAATTTATAAATACTTATTTTTATCAAAAATACTCTTTGATTTTATGTAGATGATGCCTCAATGTTGAATCGAAACTTGACAGAAGAAATGCACGCAATGTTGAAAAATAAAACAATTAAATTTTATGGACCTGAAATGGACAGAAATTTAAAAGTATATAAGAATTATGAGTTGTTATGCAACAAACAGGTAAATGAATATTAATTGAGAAGAAACAGTAATGAAAATAACTGTCAATTTTAATTAATCTAATTTATTTATTTACCCTGTATGTTCAGAGACATATATACACATGTGTATATATGTCTCTGGTATGTTGAAGAACCTTTGTAATAACTATAGAGGGGTCAATTAGTGGACTGTTCCAGAACAAAGTTCCGAAAAACTTCAACGAATCCATTGAAAATTTAATCCCGATACGGCGAATACGAATACAAAAGTGTGTTTTATTTTTTGGTTTAAAACATAAAACAAATGAGCTTTTTACCGGATAAAGATAACATATTAATAAAGCACACATATAAAGGATTAACGCACCATATATTCAAAAACATAGACCTGCCTATTGTTTTGTTTATTTGTTATATCCCTAGATATGTAATATTTCCCACTGCGCATGATACAAACAACAATCAACCAATCAATCATGTTATGTATACATTTCAGATAATGTATTCAGAGGGATACTGTAAATATCTAGGATATCCCTACATCGGATTTTACTACCGACCAATCAAAATCGAGTTCATCAATAAATCACCAAGGATATTAGTTATTCATGACATAATCAATATGGATGTGATAAGTCATTTTACTGCAAAATCTTTTCAAGTAAGTTTTTTGTTTAGTTTCAATAATGATGAAAAAAAAATGAGTATCGAACGTGGCTAAAATATAATAAATGAATTAAACGAGTCTCCCACTTAAATGGTATACATACAGATTCTACCACTCACAGAATGTGATACGATATTTCTCCTCTCGATACGGTTAACTTTTCAAATTTTAAATGCGAGGCTTGCCGAATGGAAAGACATCGTATTGTACAAGATTCGGTAATGGAATCTATTTTCTCTAACAACTTTTAGGTGATATTTGGGCTTTTTCAACCATCTTCAAAAAATAAAGGGTTGAGATCAAGTGATCCACACGATGATTATAAAAAAATATTCAACCGGTCGGGGGGAAAACCGGCTATAAGTATTAGAGAAAAGAAAAATATAAGTAATCGCTACAAACGAGAATATGAAAGAAACTATTTAAGGTTGTTTTACTAAGCAAAACACTAATACATGTATTTGTTACAATGTATGTTTGAATGGCTTCTTTGAACACATTCGAAACCCTGTTTCACACGCTGTGGTAAACGGTCGATTTATTTTATTGCATGATGAGGGTTCTGAAGAGGGAACTTATTTCACCATGTCTGTTTCCTGAGTTTTGGGTTTCCCTATATAGACGTCGTATGCTTCTAAGAGGAAATATATAATACAAAAACAGCCTATACAAACTAATCTTTATAAAAAAAATCGGTAACAAATCGAACCTTCAATATCAAAGATTTATTCAAAAAAAATATTTGTTTGAGTTGCCTTTGATCTTTAAAGTTGAAAAGATTAACTCAAGAGAAATTATTCCACAAGTTGTAGTAAATCGTTCGTAATAATGTTAAAGTCATGGCTCTTCTGTATACAACCAAGTTCACATTGGAATTAGTTTCCTGGTTGTGATCAAAATGGTATGCCAATATAGTAAAGGAATGTGAAAAACAAAATATTCTTGCTTTAACTACATGTATGCATGTCCTTTCATTTGCGTAATCGCCTCACTTATGAAATATATTGTATGAAAGGACATGTACATACAATATATTACTTCTTTTGCTTAAGCTATGCGTGTCCTTTCATTTGCGTAATCGCCTCACTTATGAAATAAATTGTATGAAAGGACATGTACATACAGTATATAACTTCTTTTGCTTTAGCTATGCGTGTCCTCATTTGCGTAATCGCCTCACTTATGAAATAAATTGTATGAAAGGACATGTACATACAATATATTACTTCTTTTGCTTTAGCTATGCGTGTCCTTTCATTTGCGTAATCGCATCACTAATGAAATATATTGTACATACCTGATTTTTTTTAGCTTTCAAGATCTGAAGTATTAAATTTGAAAGGCAGCACCATTAATGATAGTAGTGTCCAGTCTGAACACAGAACAAGTTCAACGTAAGTACATCATGTACAAATTTATCAATCAGGTTCAACGGTGATGTTGGGTATATGTCAATAAGACAGCAGCCCCATGATACTAAAACAACATATAGAGGTCAACAAAATTGAGAATGGAAACGGGGAATTTGTCAAAGAGACAACAACTCGACCAAAGAGCAGAAAACAGCCCAAGCTAGGCCACCAATGGGTCTTCAACACAGCGAGGAAAATCTCGCACCCGGAAGCGGACTTCAGCTGGCCCTTAAACAAAAATGTGTACTAGTTCAGAGAAAATGGACGTCACACTAAACTCCGAAACATATTTATAAATGAACCAAAATTTAAAAAAGAAATTCAAGACTAACAAAGGCCAGAGGTTCCAGACTTGGGACAGGCGCAAAAATGCGGCGGGGATAACATACATGTACTGTCTTCAACAATAGAAATGTGTCTATATAAATACAATATGTGAAGCTCTCTATTGTGTTATCAATACTCTAAGTAAGGAGGATATTGTTTGTATTCTTTAAACCCCTCCCTGCACCACCAAAAAAAATAATATTAGCAACCTGCTTGATCATTGTTTGGTTATGTATTATGTCTAGAAAAATTGTATATTAAAATAATTTGTCAGTAGTTGTTATCCTCAGAAAACTCAGTACTGGATATTTTCGTCGTTTTTTTAAAACATTTATGTCACATTTAGACTATGCCTACCCTTCCGGAGCACATAACAATAACAGGTGTCTGTACAATATGTCAAGTCTAAAAATATTGCAAATCAATTTAACTAAACTATCAAAACTACCATCAACAATGCTCCAAATAAAAAACTATCAAAGATCTGTCATCAACACTCAATGCTCCAAATAAAAAACTATCGAAGATCTGTCATCAACACTCAATGCTCCAAATAAAAAACTATCTAAGATCTGTCATCAACACCCAATGCTCCAAATAAAAAACTATCGAAGATCTGTCATCAACACCCAATGCTCCAAATAAAAAACTATCTAAGATCTGTCATCAACACCCAATGCTCCAAATAAAAAACTATCGAAGATCTGTCATCAACACCCAATGCTCCAAATAAAAAACTATCTAAGATCTGTCATCAACACCCAATGCTCCAAATAAAAAACTATCGAAGATCTGCCATCAACACCCAATGCTCCAAATAAAAAACTATCGAAGATCTGCCATCAACACCCAATGCTCCAAATAAAAAACTATCGAAGATCTGCCATCAACACCCAATGCTCCTAATAAAAAAACTATCGAAGATCTGTCATCAACACCCAATGCTCCAAATAAAAAAACTATCAAAGATCTGTCATCAACACTCAATGCTCCAAATAAAAAACTATCAAAGATCTGTCATCAACACACAATGCTCCAAATAAAAAACGATCAAAGATTTGTCATCAACACTCAATGCTCCAAATAAAAAACTATCAAAGATCTGCCATCAACACCCAATGCTCCAAATAAAAAACTATCAAAGATCTGTCATCAACACTCAATGCTCCAAATAAAAAACTATCAAAGATCTGTCATTAACACCCAATGCTCCAAATAAAAAACTATCAAAGATCTGCCATCAACACCCAATGCTCCAAATAAAAAACTATCAAAGATCTGTCATCAACACTCAATGCTCCAAATAAAAAAACTATCAAAGATCTGTCGTCAACACTCAATGCTCCAAATAAAAAACTATCAAAGATCTGCCATCAACACCCAATGCTCCAAATAAAAAATTATCAAAGATCTGTCATCAACACTCAATGCTCCAAATAAAAAACTATCAAAGATCTGTCATCAACACCCAATGCTCCAAATAAAAAACTATCAGAGATCTGTCATCAACACCCAATGCTTCAAATAAAAAACTATCAAAGATCTGCCATCAACACCCAATGCTCCAAATAAAAAACTATCAAAGATCTGTCATCAACACCCAATGCTCCAAATAAAAAACTATCAAAGATCTGTCATCAACACCCAATGCTCCAAATAAAAAACTACCAAAGATCTGTCATCAACACTCAATGCTCCAAATAAAAAACTATCAAAGATCTGCCATCAATCCAAATAAAAAACTATCAAAGATCTGTCACCAATCCAAATAAAAAACTATCAAAGATCTGCCATCAACACTCAATGTTTCAAATAAAAAACTATCAAAGATCTGCCATCAACACCCAATGCTCCAAATAAAAAACTATTGAAGATCTGCCATCAACACCCAATGCTCCAAATAAAAACTATCAAACATCTGCAATCAACACTCAATGTTCCAAATAAAAACTATCAAAGATCTGTCATCAACACCCAATGCTCCAAATAAAAAACTATCAAACATCTGTCATCAACACTCAATGTTCCAAATAAAAACTATCAAAGATCTGTCATCAACACTCAATGCTCCAAATAAAAAATTATCAAAGATCTGTCATCAACACTCAATGTTCCAAATAAAAAACTATCAAAGATCTGCCATTAACACCCAAAGCTCCAAATAAAAAACTATCAAAGATCTGCCATCAACATTCAATGCTCCAAATAAAAAACTATGAAAGATCTGCCATCAACACTCAATGCTCCAAATAAAAAGCTATCAAAGATCTGTCATCAACACTCAATGCTCCAAATAAAAAACTATCAAAGATCTGTCATTAACACCCAATGCTCCAAATAAAAACTATCAAAGATCTGTCATCAACACCCAATGCTCCAAATAAAAAACTATCAAAGATCTGCCATCAATCCAAATAAAAAACTATCAAAGATCTACCATTAACACCCAATGCTCCAAATAAAAACTATCAATCATCTGCCATCAACACCCAATGCTCCAAATAAAAAACTATCAAAGATCTGCCATCAATCCACATAAAAAACTATCAAAGATCTGTCACCAATCCAAATAAAAAACTCAAAGATCTGCCATCAACACTCAATGCTCCAAATAAAAAACTATCAGAGATCTGTCATCAACACCCAATGCTCCAAATAAAAAAGTATCAAAGATCTGCCATCAACACCCAATGCTCCAAAAAAAAAATATCAAAGATCTGTCATGAACACCCAATGCTCCAAATAAAAAACTATCAAAGATCTGCCATCAACATTCAATGCTCCAAATAAAAAACTATCAAAGATTTGCCATCAACACTCAATGCTCCAAATAAAAACTATCAAAGATCTGCCATCAACACCCAATGCTCCAAATAAAAACTATCAAAGATCTGCCATCAACACCCAATGCTCCAAATAAAAACTATCAAAGATCTGCCATCAACACCCAATGCTCCAAATAAAAAACTATCAAAGATCTGTCATTAACACTCAATGCTCCAAATAAAAAACTATCAAAGATCTACCATTAACACCCAATGCTCCAAATAAAAAAAAACATTCAGATATGACATACGGCAAGTATTGACGAAGTTTCTGACTTTGGACAGGCACTTGAAAACTAGATTTTAGGCTGTTACCTTGTGAACAAGCACATTAATAATCTAGCTCAGTGTGTCTGATGAGTACAAGATTTTTCTCCTGTTCCGAAGCGAGTACAAATACAATATTTTTGAAAATGTACGTTTATTTGTTTTTACCATTCAATTTAACGTTGAAACTACAACAATTAGTTGTTTTTTTTTATTCTCAGTAAGTTCTATATGACTTTTAAAAACGAAATTCGACGTAAAAACAACAATTCTTTCATAACAGTTCACTCGATAGAAGCAGGATACCAGGATATTTTACTTGTATCATACGAGTAAAGCAAAGAACTTCATATAACTGTTATTTGTAAAATAGTTGCAAGAACAAATTATTCATATTCTAGTCAAGTTTTTTAAAACGATGAAATATATAACGCCAATGCGCATAATAGTATTTATAAATAAACAAACACATAAGATATACAATGAGAGACAGGCGCACCCAACAGGAGCTTGTGGCATGCACCTCTTACTAACTCTAATATAATCATCAGAGCCATTATATCATTTCAATTTTTTTTATCAATTACTGTGTCAAAGCATCTTATTAGTGTTACTTTTGTATCAAATTTAGCTATTTAGATGACATAGAGTATCCCTTGGTTGCTAGACTTAATAACTTCCTGGAAAGATTAACTGGATTGAGAATGAACAATAAACAAGCTGAAAACTTCCAGGTAAACATAGTAAAAGTAGTTATTGTATGTTATTACTGAATGAAATTCACTTGATTTGGTGTCCACCTATAGACTAGACCTATATAGGTTTCAGTCAGTCGTCTTTCGACGTTGACCTTCTATGTAAAACATTACAAGGGACATTGGTCAGACATGCGCCCATGTCGACTTTATTAGAAAATTAAATATCCTTGTGTAATGATTTGTGTTTTTGTATCTATTTGTTTACTGTTGCATGCTGTGGTAGAAAGGTGAATCTTTAAACTTTACAATTGTCTAATGTTTTGTCCATTTGTTCATTTAGATAGTAAACTATGGAATCGGAGGAGAATATAAACCACACTATGATTGGTTTGAAGACAGATATGTAAGTTTAAAGTCACTTGGAGAAATGTAAGTGGGACGAGCATTAATTGCTTTTCTGGGTCGGGGGGATGGAGGATTTTTTCCGAATGAAATATTTATTTTCACCTTTTGCTAAACTGTCTCATTTATTTCGCGCGGAACATCTATGTTGTAAACATTTATCTCTTCCTTAATGTTTGGTAGCATATACATTTTGGTGTTGTCTTGGGCAATATTCTTTTTTGTCAGTTATTACCAGGCTAGGATATTTTTTACCAAAATCCTCCTCACCCACCTCACCACCGGAAAATCATCCCCTTACTGATGGTATTTAGCGACAAAACTATAAATAACATTGACAAAAAATATATTAAATTATTGATTGATTGTTTATTTAACTCCCAGTGATAATAAATCATGCAAATTCAGGACGAGAACAAACTGTTTGCACCTGTTCTAAGTCAGGAATCTGATGTTCAGTATAGTTGTCGTTTGTTGATGTGGTTCATAAGTTGTCATAAGTGTTTCTCGTTTCTCGTTTTTTATATAGATTAGATCGTTGGTTTTCCCGTTTGAATAGTTTTACACTAGAAATTTTTGGGGCCCTTTATAGCTTGCTGTTCGGTGTGAGCCATGGCTCCGTGTTGAAGACCGTTCTTTGACCTATAACGGTTTACTTTTGTTAATTTTGACTAGGATGGAGAGTTGTCTCATTGGCACTCATACCACATCTTCTTATATCTATGTGCCAATACTTATGAAATACCATATATGAACGGACCAGTGCTTAGGATCAAACATTGAATTGTCGAGCTACAATTTCCATGCGTCAAGCGTCAAAACTTTGAACTTGATCAAGACGGCGTCTTGATGTATTTACATGTGAATTTAATGTTAAAGGAGTGGTATAAAATAATGTGTAAGTAATTTGAAATTTGAAACAGAACAAATATTTGATATTCGGAGAGGTGTCCTATAGGTTTCATTACTAAATGCAGAAATTATATTCTACGTTGTGTGCCTTAAGGTGTTCTTAGTCCAGTTAACTTACTACAGATTATCCATTTAGACCATTTAAATTGTAAGAACATGGTTTTTTTTCAAAATCCTCTTGCATGTCTCAACCCCTCCGAAAAAAAAATAAAGTGGTCGCCAATTTGAATAGACACCTGCAGATATCAACTCAAAGACAATCCTTTTAATGTACAGATACGTGTGCATCGCAATTTATTGTGTAATCAATAATTCTTTTTCTTTACGTCCAGTGGAAAATAGTTCATGCATATTCAGGACAAGAACAAACCAAAAATAAATACAATAGAAAGATTATGGAAAATTAGTCGACCGGGATCAATTACGCCTCCAGGATTTTCGACTGCAACTATAAATTGAGATGGACGGGTGGATGTTTGTTTAAACTCCATTGGCGAATTATGTGATATGAATTTAAGCACTGCTTTGTACTAGACCGACACGCTGAGCCGGATTTTTAACGTGCTAGTCCAAAAGGTGACAGTCCTCAGGAAGATATGTCACGTACATGTACTCTACCCGGACACATTATTCTGACTCCGAGCCGATTAGTCTTTGCTCTGACTCCTTAATGCCGCGTGCTTAGCGGAGAAGCATCAAATACTAATTTTAAAATCTTTTGTTTGACCCGGTCGCCCTTGGTTCAAATCCACGACCTCTCGCACTCGAGGCGAACATGCAGCGACGACCACCGATGCTGTAAATTGAGGGTATGTTCGATAGTGCCAGAAATTTGGCCTTGCAATAGGCTACATACGGACCTCTCACGGAGTTGTGCATTCACATTTGTTCAATAAGGCACAGAAAGCGTGGCACTGTTCCTGCACGTGGCTTCTGATTTAGTGTTTCTGTTCCGACCAGATATAGCTGCGACTTTATACATATTATCATTTGGTCTCTTGTGGAGAGTTGTCTCATTGGCAATCATACCACATCTTCTTTTTTTTATAATCACAGCTAAACGGGCGCCGCTTTCAAATGAGTCGTTCCTCTGATACGGATTTACTTGGACCAATTTGTCTACTCCAGGGTACTCTCGGGAGTCTTTTAAGTATAGCATTTAAAATTGAGAATGGAAATGGGGAATGTGTCAAAGAGACAACAACCCGACTAGAGAGCAGACAACAGCCGAAGGCCACTAATGGGTCTTCAATGCAACGAACAACTCCCGCACCCAAAGGCGTCCTTCAGCTGGCCCCTAAACAAATATCTTCTTAATATATATTGACTACAAAGTACTATAGATACCAATTTTTACCATTGAAATAATACATTGTTAACATGTTTCATAATCATTATTTTAGGTGAGTTCAAGAATGCACACAGGAACAAACAGAATATTGACAATACTGTTTTATGTACGGATAAGTAGAAACAAATGCATGAATTAAAAGGTGGAATATCAGATTAAATGTTGATTTATTTTATGATAAAAGTCACGTTTAAGTACGCATGATACAATTAAATATTTGTACCGTTTCTTTTATAGTCATCTTGATTTCACTAATAAGTAAACGATTAAAACTATATGGATTTCCTTTTCTATGTACCTCTTTTTCATGATGTTTTATTTGTTTTGCCCATTATTCTCTAACCATTATATAAATAAGACATAGCTGAGAGGGTGATAGAGCAGATTGTTACCCCGAGAAAACATTGTCAACTGAGGCGAAGCCGAGGTTTACAATGTCTTTTCGAGGGGTAACAATCTGCTCTTTCACCCTCTCAGATATGTGTTATTTAATTTATTATACTGAATGTTCTGTTATTACTGTCGATCAAATTTCAAATTCAAAGTAATAAACTATGACATCTTGTACATAACAACCATCCGTATTTAATAAAGCGCACACTTGATCAAACGTCTCCGTGAAGGGTAATAGAGTATTTGCCATAGGATAGAGTCGTATTTAATAAAGCGAACACTTGATCAAGCGTCTCCGTGAAGGGTAATATTGTATTTGCCATAGGATAGAGTCGTATTTAATAAAGCGCACACTTGATCAAGCGTCTCCATGAAGGGTAATAGAGTAAATTAACACCCTCGTATTAGCCAATCAAAATATGGCATTTTAACGTGAAGTATAATAATATAATTTGACACCCCGTTTTCCTTTATTTTAAATTTTTAGCATCCTATGTTTCTTTATTCTTTTTTTCTTTTTTTTTTTTTTTTTTTGCTCATTATTCACTTTTCTGTAAAACCCAATACAGGATCATACAGACTTTTTTTTATATGACGAAAATTAACCAGTACAATATCTAATATCTATATTTAATGTAATAAACTGTGTGTTTATGAAGTAATTGACTGTATATCTTGTTTTTGTTTCAATAGTTAAGTAATGTGGAGTTTGGTGGATCTACAGTTTTTCCTCATCTAAATATCGCTGTGCCTCCAAAAAAGGTAATTATAAAAAAACATGTAATTCAGTTTAAACAATATTATATTCAGATAAATCATCACATAACAATATAATACACATAAAATCAGAATTAAGCAAATTTCCTTTTACAAATCTGTTTCCTAGTATACAAATAATGCACTTATTGGTCAAGATATAAATATTGGCATGCTCTGCAATAAATGTTTAAATATGAAAAAGGTACAAAATGTAAAAGAAAAAAATTAATAAAGAATAAACATGAAATCATTTTGTAATGTATATAGTGTGAAATGCTTGTGGTTCTATTTTGGATGGTGGAGCATTAAGGATTAACACGTTTGCTTCTCCATAATGTATTTCTGCACATAACTAATAAAAAGGCTATTCTACTCGTCTGGGAGTACTGTTGAGCCAAAAAGCAAAATATCGGTGTCAACTTAGACAGGAACATGTAACTTCTTTGGCTCTTGCAGATTACTAGAATGTCGGTAGTATTTTTTTTTTTTTTTTTTTGCATTACAGATTACAGTTTAATGCATCGACCATTGTGTGGTGTTCATGGTTTTTTTTTGGAACAAATAATTTTTTCAACTTCATTGAAAAAAATATTAAAATATCTAAAACTCCATGTCGTATTTATTTATTTATCTAATCTTCAATAGAAAATAACTTTTATTCATTTAACAAATACCTTTTTTCAAGAAAATAAAAATTAAATTAGTTATTGAAACAAAACAATATATGCCTCTCCCTGAACGATGTATGACTGGTGCCTAATTCATTATCCCATTGAATCATTACCGGATTTGACAACTGGGCACTAATAAGAGTGTCACAGGCAAGAAAAAGTAGGATAAAAGCTCAAGACATCTTGGTATAACTCCTGTGTTGGTTGAGACGTCGCATTGCAAAAAGCTTAAGTTTAAGGCGTATAACATTTGAATAAGTCTTGAATTTGAAATACTACTAATTTCTTAAGATGTACCTATAGAAAAAGAAAATGTTATATCAGCAGTGCAAATATCATTTATGTTTTCATTATTTGATTTCAGGGTTCTGCTCTTTTTTTCACAAACCTAGATGAGAAAGGACATGGTGACTCTTTAACATTACATGCTGGATGTCCCGTTTTCTTTGGTTCGAAGTGGATTGCTAATAAATGGGTCCACACAAAGGACCAGGATATGAAATTCCTACAGACCGTTCCTTCAGTGTGGACATAACTTCCTACAGACCGTTCCTTCAGTGTGAACGTAAACTTCCTATAGACCGTTCCTTCAGTGTGGACGTAACTTCCTACAGACCGTTCCTTCAGTGTGGACGTAACTTCTACAGACTGTTCCTTCAGTGTGGTCGTAACTTCCTACATACCGTTCCTTCAGTGTGGACGTAACTTTATACAAACCGTTCCTTCAGTGTGGACGTAACATCCTACAGACCGATCCTTCAGTGTGGACTTAACTTCCTACATATCGTTCCTTCAGTGTGGACGTAGCTTCCTATAGACCGTTCTACAGTGTGGACGTAACCTTCCTACAGACCGTTCCTTCAGTGTGGACTTAACTTCCTACAGACCGTTCCTTCAGTGTGGACTTAACTTCCTACAGACCGTTCCTTCAGTGTTGACTAACTTCCTATAGACCGTTCCTTCACTGTGGACGTAACGAGTCAGATCTAATGTTAGTTCATTTTGTATTAAAAGTTATTAAATATTTGTATGGTTTATGTTATTTTATGCAAGTTTATTGATTGCTGTAAAATGTAATAAATGCAAGTGATCGTGGTGGATGCTCTTGAAACCCCCCTTTATCAAAACATCAAACGAAATCAGAAGAGCCTAATTAGGACAGCCAAATCCGTATTGCATCAACTTTTTCCTAGGGAGTGTTAACCTCCAATTGGTAGAGAACTTGACAAACTTGGGTAAAGTTAAAAAGGGCAATGAAAACTTTTTGAGGACACGCAATTATTTTTATAACACAGTCATGTCTGAAATGAAAAAGAATTAAGCATTATGAAGTAACTTAATCGTGACAACTGACATCATGAAAAATACTCTACAAGAGGAAAATAATGGACCGCCAACACATATGTCTATTGTTAGAGACCGTATGATGACCTATACATGTTTAACTATTTCTTTTTCTCTTTCTCCTTATGTAATTGGATTAATTTTTCATTTAAAATATACGGCATCATCCATCCATCTGTTGTGAGTGGAGCATGCTTTTAAAATTTAGAATCATACAATCGATCTTTTTAAATACATTGTTTGATTCTAAATTTCTTGAAAAAGACATCATTTGTTCCAGATGGGAAATTAAAAAAAATATTTGATTATGAAAATAAATAAATTTAGCTTTGAGATTCAAAAACTAAATTATTGTTCCTTCATGTTATTGAAAAAAACAGTTTGTTTTTTTCATTTATCGAAAAAAATGTTCGTCTTCAGAAAAAAAATTGCCCCCACAAAAGACGAATGGTCTTGCCTTGCCCTCTATACTTCTTGAATTCGTATATCTTGGTTGCTGCGATTATTCTGAATGAACTTCCAAAAAATATCCCACCTTCTGTATGTGCGTTGGAATCGGCAAGTTTGATTTTATATTAAAACAAATCAAATACATGTTAATGTCTGAGGTGTTTAGATATTTCCCAAAAGGCGTTAGTTCGGGATTGTTAACCGTTTAAATATGGATGTTACATCGTACATGATTTTTATTTTGGATACCGTCATGTACTAAAAAGCTTTTGTCGTCATTATGGCACGAGGTTAGTTGTGTAACATCACATTTCAAGGAATGGATAATTACCACAAAGACTGAAATAAATATCAACAGTGTTGCAAATTATAAATTCTAAAAAGGATTTTTAGTGAAGATTGGGATAATTTCTCTAAAATGCAATGCACACTGTTTTGGAGTATATATTACGATACAGGTCAATTTTTAAAAACTATTCCGAACAATCATTGGTACATTTTTTTGTACCTACCCGACTAACGTTATAATAATTTGCATGTGGGTTTTCTTGCATTTCATTTTAGAAATAATATTAGTAACTAAAGAGGTTTTTTCTTCTACTGAATCATTGACGTATACCTGACATTTCCTTTCATTTAATATATAAAAATATCAAATGCACTTTTACAAGACATGTTACCATTCTTGACATCCGTCCACAAGCAAGTTGAGAGCATAAATATAAGTTCATGTATACCTGGCTCTAGGCCAGGTTCTCTTTATTGACTTGATTTAACCTATAATGGTTTACTTTTACAAATTGTGACTTGGATGGAGAGTTGTCTTATTGGTACTCATCATACCACATCTTCTTATATCTAATAAATACCAATTTATCTATTCGTTGCCTCAGAATTTGTTTTAGAAATAAACAAAAAATGGAGATGCAATTAAAAGTGAGAAGAATTTAATCCGATTTACAATATAGACCGAGACTGAATTTAGTGTTGTATAATAATGACACTTTTTCATGTACTATAACAGAAGAATGCCAAACCAGCTACGGCCACATGCACACAGAGAGAACATTACGAGTTCCAAAACAAATACATGTTTTGGCTTCCTAAGAATTTCTCAAATATCAAACATGAAGTCCAAAAGCTGAATACAATTCCGTCGTCCATAAATTTGATTGAGTAATTAATTGTTGGTTGTTGACTGTTCAGTGGCAAGAATTTCATGCATATTTAACACAACATTAAGGACGAAAAGCAGGACAGATGCGAGCTTCAGATAGGCAAAGAGAGATGTTCGTGCGCATGTTAAACTGCTTTAATCCCACCACACATTGTGTGTCTGTTGGGTCGATGCCACTGTCGGTACAGGTTTCCTCCCCGAGTGTATCACCAGCCAAGTAGTCAGCAATTTTGCGTTGACATGAATTACCATTGGTTTGGTCATATTATAATTTAACTGTTTACAAAACTTTGAATTTTTCGAAATACTTAGGATTTTCTACCCCAGGAATAGATTACCGTAGCTGTGTATGGCAAAACCTTTTGGAATTTTGGGTCCTGAATGCTCTTCAACTTCGTATTTTATTTGCATGGCCTTTTTAACTTTTTTTATTCGAGCGTCACTGATAAGTCTTTTGAAAATGAAATGCGCATTTTGCGTACAAACTTCTAATCCTGGTATCAATGATGAGTTTATTTCCAAGTCAGTCTATCTGGACCATGTGTTGTTTGGTATTGTCGCGGTGTTAAAGGATCATAGTTTTACACTGAATACTGCAATTAGGAACAACTTTTTGTGGCTTTCATTGACTTAAATAAAATGCGTCGATTTTAATGACAGAGAAATTATGCCTTATAAACTGTTACCTAATTATATAGAAACTAAAATTTACAACTCTAGTAAAAACATTTAGGACAGTTCTAACTCGTTTATCGCCTACATTGTTTTCATCTTCATAAATGATATGATAGCTGAACTGAATGAATTGAATATTGGCATTGAAATCTCGGACAGGAAACTATCTGCTTACTTTTTTTTCGGACGATATAGCTTTATTTGTCGAAAGCGACGATGATTTATAATTGTTACATAAACTCGGGGACTGGTGCAAAGTTTTATAGACTGTCATCTAATTAAACGTCGAGATTACCTCCGAAGACTGACGATATTCATTCGACCAGTTATAAACATAAATATAAATATAAATAGACGGACAAGCACGTGGAGTTGTGTAATTACAATTTTCAGGTCTGTTTGATTTCATGTCATAGATTCAAAAAAATGTAAATCATCGTTTTAACCTGTTTATGAATTATTTCTTGTATACGGAGCCCCTTAAATGCCATGTGAATATAAATATTTTCGTTTGCCGGAGATTTAATCTGGTGCGCACCAGTTTGAAAAATCGTGCGCAAGACACAATCTGGTGCGCACAACTTTCAATCCGGTTGCGCACGACTTTAAAACTTACCATACTTAGATAATGTGATCATAATGTATTGATTAAAAAAGGAAGACACCTACAAATTCTGAGAGAATCCCGTTTATGTCAGTCCTGCAATTCCACCCGATACAATACTTATTTGCTTCTTGAAGAAGAAAATTATTAATGCTGTTAGTCTTCTTCAAGTTATAACAAAGTATACTGTATAGACCGCACAGTACGCTACGGTACATTGTTAGCTTGAATTAGAAAGATGCACTTCGGTCCTACAAACGCGTTCGGAACAGTATATCAGAAAGAGGCTGTACATGCGACGCCATATGTGTTGATCCGACTGCTGATGTTGAAAAGGTAAAATGTTGTTTAGTTTATCTGATTTTATCCACTGTGTTATATAGTCTTTAGATAAAGACAATACCTTGCCGTCCTTGTGAAAGTTGTGTTTATCAGTCTGATGACTGATGTAACACGTTTTACGTGTGTTTCTGGCCTATAATGCTATATTCTGAAGAAATGTGTGAAACTGTATTAAATTTTATGAAGCGTCTCTTTTCGTTGCTAGATTTTAATGTGCATTGAATATACAATATTGTGCAATAGCCATTGAACAGTTAAAAGCTAATGTAAAAATTTCATTACAATTTAAAGACTGAAGTCACGATTAAAATTAAAATGCTTCCATATAATTTATCAGGTTGGGAACCCTCCTTTTCCCCCAGATCATGAGGGCTATCCCTTGAATGAGGGAATGTCCCCAGATAATAAGTCATTTTGCTGTTGAAAAGAAAAAGAAAATGTTCGCTTTTTATGTCTCCGCCTTTAAGTTTTACCCTTGTGACTGGTGAACCGTCTGTCCATCCCTCTGTCCGTGCGTCCCAAAGTTGGTTTCCCTTCTCTAACTTCAGTTTGCCTCAACCAAATATTATGAAACTTATACACAATGCTTATTACCAAAAAAACACAGATCATGTCTGAATTTTGGTGGCGTCACTCAAACCATTCTAGAGTTATGCTCCTTTTAGAAACAAAAAAAAATACTGTAATTTGCCTCAACCAAATGCCATAAAATTTATACACAATGCTTATTACCACAAAATACAGATCCAGTTTGAATTCCGTTCTCTAACTTAAGTTTGCATCCACCAAATTTTGTGAAACTTATACACAATAATTATTATTACAAAACTCAGATCAAGTACAAATTTGGGTAGGGTCACTTTTACTGTTCTTCAGTTATGTCCGTTTATATATAACTTTATATGATATGCAAGCCGGGGCACCATCTGTGTCCCTTGGACATATTCCCCATTTATTTTTAACTAAAAAGGGGAATAATTCATTTTATTTGGAACAACTTTTCTAAAAGAGATATCCACTTTTTATACGACTGCAAAAATTTTTTTTTGCGTTGTATATTGGTATGATGTCTTCGTCGTCTACGTCGTTGTCCGTAGACAAATTTGGTTTCCGGACAATAAATTTAGTTCAAGTGAATGGATCTCTATGAAATTTTACCAGAAGATTCAATACCACAAAAGGAAGGTTGGGATTGATTTTGGGGGTTATGGTACCAACAGTTTTGTAATTAAGGGCCAAAAACAAGCATTTTTGTTGTTTCCAGACAATAACTTGTGTTTTAGTGTATGGATCTTTCTGAAATTGTACCGCAAGGTACCATACCACAAAGGGAAAGCTGGGATTGAGTTTGGGGGTAATTACTAAAAGGGGGGTAAAAAAATATTAAGGATGGGGATTTTTTTTTTCATAATTTTTTAGGTTTTTTTTCTTAAAATTTTCTTTTTTTGCATTTATTATTTCTGATTTATATTTAAAAGCAAAAAAAATCTGATATGGCAGGAGAGACACACCAAACATGACTTGTAAATTATTATATGAAGTATTGTGCAACAGCACACTATTGTGCAATAGCAGGAAATCTTCAATTGCATAGTATTGTGCAATAGCAAGAAATCTTCAATTGCATAGTATTGCACAATAGCAAGAAATCTTCAATTGCACTGTATTGCGCAATAGCAAGAAATCTTCAATTGCACAGTATTGCAGAATAGCAAGAAATATCCAATTGCACAGTATTGCGCAATAGCACAATAGTGCCCAATAGCCAGAAATCTTTAATTGCATAGTATTGCACAATAGCAAGAAATATCCAATTGCACAGTATTGTGCAATTGCAAGAAATCTTCAATTGAAAATTAATACAAATATTTAAACCCATTTCAAATTTTTAAAGATTTTTCACCACATTTATTTTGTGTCAGAAACCTATATTATGTCAAAAATTTGATCACAATCCAAATTCAGACAGTATCAAGCTTGAATATTGTGTCCAAACTTGCACCAACTGTTCAGGGTTCGACCTCAGCGGTCGTATCAGGCTGCGCTCAGCGAAGCATTTTATTTTTAGTAATAAAGAAGCTTAACGTTGCTCCAAATGTTCGGGGTTTACATTGTTGTAACCTCTGCAGTCGTATTAAGCTGCACCCAATGTAGCATTTTATTGTGCTATAAAATTATAATAAGATATTGTGATGTTTTGTCCTTTGAATTTTTTGTTCCGCCAGTTTTGTAAATTTATGAGACTTGATATTTTATCGGAGGGAGCTATATATTCTATTATTATTTTTTCAGGATTTAATATTATTTCGGTGAAGAATTTTATCAGAGGAAGCTACATGTACATGAAGATGATGAATATCCTGAAGTGACATTTTTTTGTGAAATTTTTTATCTTTTAATATCAATTCATGTCTCATAGATATATAAAGAAAAGAAAATCACAGGTAACTTATATTGTTCATAAAGATGGAAAGAGTAGGAAGGTGACAAAATCGTTTAAACGTGAATCTCCTGGTATTTCAACTGATACTGACCAGAGAGGTGAAACAACAGCAAATGATGATGTTATTTTTGATGGTGTCCAAATACAAGTACCTGAGGAGAATGTCAGAAGTTTGGCTGCATTAGAAGAAGCACCTTCATGTGACCAAAAAAGTAAGACACCCCCTTTTACCAAAAACCACTCCAAATAATTTAGTTTTTCATGGGTATCATATATATACATGTAGGTAAACATATACATGTATAGATATAGGAAGATGTGGTATGAGTGCCAATGAGACAACTCTCCATCCAAGTAACAATTTATAAAAGTAAACCATTATAGGTCAAGGTACGGCCTTCAACAGGGAGCATTGGCTCACACCTAACAGCAAGCTATAAAGGGCCCCAGAATTTACTAGTGTAAAACCATTCAAACAGGAAAACCAACGGTCTAATCTATATAAAGAGGGAAACACTTATGAACCACATAAACAGACAACCACTGAACATCAGATTCCTGACTTGGGACAGGTATATAAATGTTGTACCCAAACAATTTTTGTCCCCCCGCACAAAGTGTTGCTGGGGACATAGAAAAACATGGGGGTCTGTCTTTCTGTCCAGTCTTGGTAAAGCTTTCCCCATTACAATTCTTGCCAGATTTTTATGAAACTTATATCACACGTTTATATCAGCAATTTCTTGGTTGAATTTTGAAAATCATTTATTTTAAAAAGAGTTATGCCTCTTGGAAACATAGATTATATAAAAAAATGCATCATTAGTGCTCTCATTTGTACAATCCTTGCAGATTTTTATGAAACTTACATGAATATCATAAAAAATATGAAATTGCAAGTGAGGCAGAATTTTTCATTACAGGAAATCGACCCTATATTTGTTCACAATAAATCTTCAGATAGCTAGAGCATGTAGATAGATATAAGAAGATGTGGTATGATTGCCAATTAAACAACTCTCCATCCAAGTCACAATTTCTAATAGTAAACCATTATAGGTCAAAGTACGATCTTCAACACGGAGCCTTTGCTCACACAGAACAGCAAGCTATAAAGGGCCCTAAAAATAACTAGTGTAAAACCGTTCAAACAGGTAAACCAACCGTCTAATCTATATATAAAAAAAAAGAAACGAGAAACACTTATAAACTACATCAACAGCTACTAACATCAGATTCCTGACTTAGAACAGGTGCAAACAATTGCAGCGGGTTTAAACGTTTTAATCGTATGCTTATTTTAGTTGCTAGTTAGTTACATTTGATTTAAACTGAATTTATAAAAAAAAAGAATTAATCCCCATTACACTCTTAAGTTAAATTGAGAGTACATGTAGGTCAAAATTATATTACAGTGCTAAAATGTCCTTACCTTGGATGTTATTTCTCGTATTATATTCAATACTGAAGTCATGCGTCATTTATTTTGACAGAATATGAGAAGGCAAAGTACAAGAGACTGGAAAATTGGGCAGAAGTGAGCAAGAAGCTGTACCAGAAAGGACTGCAAAAGCAATATTTAACTGGCTCTACCTGCAATCAGTGTAACATTGATACAACTGACCTTTACAGATGTATTGATTGCATAAATTACCATGCTACCTGTCTACCGTGCTTGGAAAAACGTCATGAATTCCCTCATCTTCATATTTTTGAGAAGTGGATGGTAAGTGTTTGTCTGCTTTAATACCTGGCACAGAGATTTTGATCTTTATTTTCTTGATGTATCTCACAACCTATACATTAGCCATGTTCATGATGTTAGCTGATTATTTTTTGCATCATACACTTTAGCCTGCAGACTTTATCTTTGGGTTAGAGTTCAACTTTGAAATCTTAAGTAAATGGTGACTGAAATTTTCCTGATTTGCAACCAGGTTCTAAATTTTCAGAAATCTCTGCCCCTATAGTGACCGCTCCATGTCTCCATACTGCTATCGGAAACACATTCCCTTTTCATAACTTTGTAAAATTGAGAATGGAAATGGGGAATGTGTCAAAGAGACCCATGGGTCTTCAATGCAGCAAGAAACCCATCATAATGGAGGGATAAATTTTTGCATAACTTTTAACCACTATTAGAAGATGTTGCTAACTTAATTAAATTTTGTCCCTCATAGATCAAGGTCTTAAACTTAGGTTTTCATTGAATCCCATTTGATGTTATTTGTAACAGCAGGATCCTTAGAGATGGAAGCCATCTCCATGTTATCTAGTTATAATAATACCTGCTGCCATTTAATTTGCATTTTATGATTTTTCTAGCATGGTACATTTATTGGATTTTCATGTCCAACTCCTGTTTGGGAAGATGGTAGTCATCAGGAGTGTTCAACATCTTACCAGAAAGACATAGTTGTTGTTGATGACAAAGGTATGATACATGTGAAAAGAATTGTCACTTACTTTTCTTATAGGTGAAAATTGTCAAAAAATGGATGGAATACATAATAATTAAATATAGAATAGTAGTATACTTTTTTAATATTTGATGCAAATATAATCACAAGAAGATGTGGTATGGTAGCCAATTATTACAACTCTCCACCAGAGACCAAAAGACATAGAAGTTAACAACTACAGGTCACCATACAGCCTTCAACAATGAGCAAACCCCCATACTGCATAGTCAACTATAAAAGGCCCCAAATTGACAAATGTAAAACAAATTAAATGATAAAATGAGCAGTCTGATTTATGTTCAAAACATTGAATGGAAAACAAATAGGATCTTCAGCATATATATGAAAGTTTATTTTGGTTATCGCAATTATTGTATTGCAATTATCATCATGATCATTGTTCATATGAGTCATGTCTGTTGTTTATGTTCAGTTCCAGTCTGAATTTTATTCAATACATATATATTCTAATCTAGCAGTTAAATTATATTCTCAATTAATTAAACTTATTTATTATAGGCTGCAAGATAGGAAATTTCTGTAACTTCAATGTAGTCTCCTTTTTTACAGGTAGACAGCACATGAGGACAATAGAGTTCTGTGCCTGTGAAGAAGAGGCTGTAACATTGTTGCAATATGATTTGTGGCCATCTTCACCAAAGCATCCACGTCTTGCTTTCCACATTGATCTTTTGAGATGGCTGAACGGTCTCTTACTTGAGTGCCAGGTTTCAGCCAAAGGCTTCTGTGAAGCACTGAAGGCTAGACAACCTAAGCTTTGTAAATTCCTTGTGACTAAGGAAGTAAGTTATTTATATTTTATAGAATAGATGAATGGCAAATTGATTATATCCTTAGTTCACCCAGAGTGTTTTTGCCAAGTTTGCATATTTTAATTCAATAACATATGTTCCAAAAATGAGTTAATAGGACACAGAAAAATAGCATTAGATGATGAAAATAATAAAATAATTAACAGTTATGTCTACATAATACATTCAACTAGTTTGTATTTGAAAAAAAATTGTTATTACATATATTATTCCTTTTTTTATTAACAGGGAAAGGAAATATATAAACTGCTGATAAATGAAACCATACATCAATTTCGGCAGTTTTTGTATTGTATGGATTATCCAACCGATGCAGACCTAGATAATGGATGTTCCTGTCCAGCATGCTTTCAGGTAATTTTTCAGAAAATGCTGAACTTCAAGGAAAATATTCATGATTAAAATTGAAGAATTGATGATATTATATTTTTTGTACTTAAGTGAAAATGATACTTTAAGAACTTTTGTCTGTCATGCCATGGATTTTTCTAGCATTCCACAGGGTCCGGTATTCGGTCCCATTCCCAATGGCAAATACCCTACATTTTTCCCAATTTTGGGAGCAAAATTCCCAAACGATCTCAAAATTTATTTTCATCTTTATTATTCATGACAGTGATGTTCATTTTGTTCAACCGCTAGCTTTATGTCGAAAATCGCCAACAAGCAATGTGTAAATCCGAGTTAAATCGTATATGACTGACAAAAACAACATTAAAAAAAAATGGATGCCATAAACCGGAAATGAAGACAATTACAATACCGGGTCAATTCCGGGGACGGATAAGGGTAATTCCGGGTTTGTCGATCAAATACAATAAAAAAATAATAATTCCAGGCAGGTGACAAAATACATGTTGATGATGAAATATAAACACTAGAATTGAAAACCAAAAGATATATGGGAAAACAAGAAAACAGGAAATAATTTATACAGAAACTCAAAATTACTTTTAGTTCACAAATTTTCAAGTCAAAACCCAATAAAATGTGACAGTAATTTTCCTAATCATTAATAAATGTTGATATTACATGTAGATGTTTTTATAGTGTAAACATATAACTACAATTCCAAGAGGTAATTTCTTCTCAATTTTGAAGGGCCAGTAAAATTCTGGAAGTTTCTTACTTTATTTTCACAATAAAAGATAACTTTTAATGAACTAAACACACTTAAGCTCAAATCTGGTATATTTGCTGTTTTCCCAATTTCATTGAAAAGCACGTGAAAAAATTCCCAAAACTGGCCAGGGTCCTTTTTCCCAAAATACACAGAAAAAACCCTGCATGCTACTTCATTTACTCTTTGTAGGTGATATTGCATTGTTTTTATTTTTGCATATCAAAGCTTTCAAAAATTATAATAATTTATTTTTCAAAAATTGTATTATTAATATTGGTAGTATTTTATTTTCAGTGTGAGACAAAGATCTTTTGTTTTGATGCTGACTTTCAATTGGTCAGAAAGACATCCTCTGGTCAGCAATGGTTGTCCCCTAAGCACCAAGAACGTTTTTTTTTAGATCAGAAAGAGGTGGACAGCTTTATGTGTACATATAACAACTCACCTGTTGATAATGTAAGTACAACTGTAAACCGTAGATCAATTGTACAGTGTATTACTGAAAAACTCAGATCTGTCGCTTACATTTCCATAATGTTTATGTTATGAAATTTCATATTGGACATTACTTTAGTTTCTAACCATCCAGAACATCCAAATGCTTTCCTTGTTGTACACTCAAGAGGTAGGTATACAAAAAACTTTATGTCTTCACTTTTAAACCCACAAATTATATATTTGCTGATGTTGTGAGAAGATTGTTTCCAATTGTTGATTGTTTGAAGTATAACATTAAAGGGAATTAGCTGTCAAATTCATATTCACCATTTGACTCAAATTTTCAACATTCTAAAATGTATATCAAATTTCAAAAAGTCTGAGGTAAACAATTAAAAATGCATATATGTATAAGTATTTTATGTGTATTTTAGTCTTGAAAAAAATCTAATTAACCATCGAAATGACCTCTAAAGATTGCTGACAGTCATATATCTGGATGTTAACATAAGTATAGATAAGAATAGATTGCAAGCACTTACAAATGGAATTTTCTAAGTCTTTTTGCTTTTAGAATATGGGTTAAAACAATATGTAAATCATTGCTTAGGTTTTGGTTAGGGGTGCCAAACGGATAAAAATCAGCTTTTATTAATACTTGGAAAAAAAGAATCTTATTTTATTTTAAATCGTAGCTAATGTCTATTTAAGATAAAAATTTAATATAGAAGGATTTTTATTTTTCATCATTTTTGATTTCTTGGCATTAGGACTGCAGCGATTTTCAAGCTGGAAGCAACATCAGATCAAAGGCAAAGAATAAAAAGCTATCAGAGACAGCTGTGTTTGGAGCCACTTGTAGACATGATTATCCACAGAAGTTCTTTAGTCTAAAACACGGAGAACGGTATTTAACTATTATTTTTTCAGTTATCCTACATATCCATACTTTTAAGTCTACAATTATATTTTTTAAAACTTTTTTAAACCTTTGCTTATGCACTAAGTAGAAGAGTCATACATAAGTTGTCTTGAAAAAATATCATTAATAAGATTTTGTGCTGCAGATAGTATGTTATACATTGTTAATTTCTTCAAATATTTGTATTTTGTTTTTTAGACTTGGATATGCAGTGTATCTGATCAAATTGCTTCTCAATGAGAACAATGAACAGAAGATGCATGTCTCCTATGATATAGCTTGCCTATTGAAGAAGCATTTGCAGGTAATATTGAGCCATTAACATGTATGAAATTAATAAATATATGTGCCTGCCTTAACTTTTCCAGCTCATATATTCAAATATGGACTAGGAGCTCTATTACATATAATGTTGCACTTCACCTTGCAGATCCATGGAAAGATTTAAAATTGTTTTGTAGAATTGTTAGTACATTAAAAACTGTGGACCTGGTGAAATTTTTGTAAGATATTTATATTGCTAGCTGATTAACTGGAAGGAAAGAATAGTATAAGAAATAGTTTATAACACTTAACTTCTAATGTCAATAAATGTACTGGCAGGTGACTTCAAAAACAATATATGAATCTCTGCTTTACTAGTTCCATATATTTTCTGGAGTCTCCTACCTGTCCACAAATTGCCATTTGACTCTCAGTGTCGTCAGTTATTTCTCTACACATTTATTTACTCCTTTAAAGATACATGTTGTTTTTGAAAGTTACAAGGTTCTTATGATTTTAAAAATGAGAACATTTTTCAAAACTTTACAAGTAACAAAGAAAAATGAATATTACTTCCAAAAATTGCTTTTGTTTGTAGTGCTTATATAATATCATTTTTTGATAGCTTGTTGGAAAAATTATTTACTAAACTTGTGTTTCAGAAAAATGGTCATGAAGATATTCTGAAGAAAGTATCATTTTCCATACCAATATTCCACTGCTATGGGCATGGTGTTCCATGTCAGGTAATTTGTCATATCATTTACTTCTATTCTCAAAATAAAAAGGTGGAAAAGGCAGATGAAAAATTAACTTTAATCTTTTAGAAAGAAAATATTTGTGGTGTCTTTCCTTTTTTACAACTTTAGTTTTCATAATTAACAATAGAGTTTGATCTGTAAGGGTCTTGATTTCTTTCAATCAGGATTATTTACTTTATTTGTATGTAAATGTTGGTCACTAAAACAGAAAAATGATAGGGATGCTGATGAAATAATTATTATAAAATGTGATTAGGGTAAAAGATATTTTGTCAAACAAATATATCAGCAGTAGATCTTGTGGCCTATGTTTACCAGACCAAACAAATCATAAAACTTGGGAATTCTAGCCAAGTATTAGATAAATGCATTGTATTTTGGGTTTTTATTTGACAGATTTTGTATGGACCTAGAAGAACTAAAAATCTTGGGTTGACAGATGGAGAAGGGATAGAGAGGCTTTGGTCATATCTTGGCAAGTTTTCATCAATAACTAAAGAGATGTCACCAGAAAACCGAACCGATTTGTTGACAGATGGCTTGATTTATTATGGACAGAAGATTAAAGACAAGTTAGGTAACTTCTAGTAGTTAAGCTTCAATCTGATAGATCGAAAATACATTAAAAAGTCAAATGTGGAAAAATATAATACATGTAATGTGTTGCTTCTGAAAGGTGTATGTATGTGCCCAGCAATACTTTAGGTCATTAAACTTATACCAAATGTTTGATAGTCCTGCTGCAATGGAGGGGGCATTAAGTGTTACCCTTGTCTGTATGTACACCCTAATTTTAGTTTGCCTTAACCAAATGTTATCGAACATAATGCTCATGACCACTAACACAGATCAATTTTGAATTTTGGTTGCCTCACTTTTACCGTTCTTGAGTCATGTCCCTTTATAATGTTTTATGCATGCCGAGGGCATCATCTGTGTCCATTCTTCAGTTTTTTTTTTATTGTAAACATTGTAAAGCTGTCTTATTTAATGTCTCTATTGCATGTTCACCACCATTATATGACCCTAAAATTTGTAGTTGTATAATGGTATTGCACTGTTTTAGTCAATCCATGTCATCATCCTTGTCTGTAGACACTCATTTTTATTAAGGTTCCATACCTCAAAGGGTATGTTTGAGTTGATTTGTGGTGTTATGGCCCTATCTGTTTAGCAATTTGGTTCCAAAAATAAGCATTTTTCTAAACTGGGTGTTTAATTTCAAGTCTTTTTTTCTTATCTTCTATGATATGCTAAATCTAACTGTGTTATTATTGGACCATAATAGGTAAATGTCAGAAACCTATGAATTTAAAAATTCAGGCAAATAAATCAGTTTTCCACACTTTTTTGTAAGGCTTGATTTTATATTTTTGTTATATAGTTTAACCATACAAGTAATAAATCAGGTTGTTGTTTTCTAATACAATTAATTTTTAACTGGCACAGGACTATGTATTTCCATGCAATTTTCTCAAAATGCTTGTTTATATTGTGTTTTTTAGGTGACACTCTTGTATCAAAGTATAAAAGAGCATCAAAATTAGAGGAGAACAGTAACACTTCATTGCTAGAAATGTTATCTTCATTTCCAGGTAAATCTTATTAGTAAAAGGTAATCTAGATATTAGAGGATGTGGTATGAGTGCCAATGCGACAACTCTTCATCCAAGTCACAATTTGTAAAAGTAAACCATTATAGGTCAAAGTATGTCTTCAACACTTCAAGGCTCCCTTGGCTCACACCAAACAGCTAGCTATAATGAAGCCCCAAAAATGTATTTTGGTTATGGTCAAATTGGGTGCATGCATTAACCTTTTAAATATCTAAACTATGAAAAACTATTTGAGACAAATTTTGAAAGGAATATTTAGTAAATTGAAGCATGCATTGGCTATTTTGAAAACTGTATGGTATCAATACTTTATTGTGTCATTAAGGAGTGTTAATGACAGTTTGTACATTCTTCATATTTTGCTCCAGTTATCATTTTGACTTAAAATTATGCTTATGAGACTTTTCTAGGAGTAGATTGAAGTATTCAAAAGATAACAGGACTGGAAAACAGTTTTAAGCAAATCTTTTTCTTTATCTTTTTGTTAATTGATTGTGTTAATGTGCTGCTGCAATGATAATCTCATATGCTTTATAAGAAAAAAATTAAATTAATTTTCCCAATTCAACTTTTCATGTTAATTCAGGGGATCAGTAATACCTTCTACCACTTACTCTTGAAAGATGTTGGGAAAAAATTGAAGACAATTCTGAGAAAACTAAAAATCAAAAGCATAGAAATATTTTCTAGAGTTACCTTCTGCAGGAACACTTTTGAGTATGGACTTTTATGGCTATAGCAAACCATCTTCTATTAAGCCTGACTTTAAAAGTTTCTATAAGATATGTAAATGTGCGAACTGGTTTCTTTAAACTTGATATAAGCAATTTCTTATTATAGATGGTGAAGCTGATATGGACATAATTGAGGAATGGGTGAATGAAGAAAAGACAGCTATCTTGTCCAGAATGCAGAACAGTTCAAATGAATCTGAATGTAAATATCCCATTTTCCATATAATGATAGTATTAGTGAATACCAGTTTCATTATCTCATCCTTGAAAAATAAAATTTTAAATGCTAAAGTTGTTTACGCGACGTATTATGGTATACCGTTGACCATCCATCCGTCCGTCGTCAACATGTCGGACATTAACTCAAAAACGCTTTAACCAATATTGGTGAATTGTTTATATCTATTGATGTGAGCTCCCTTTCGTTTTTTATAAATTTCAGATTTACCGTTTCTGAGTTTTGGGGTTTTATTCATTAAAAAAAAGGGGGATTTTCCAGTTTGTGGACAATAACTCAAAAAAAGTTTCACCAATTTACAAGAAACTTTGGTGAATTGTTTATTTCTATCGACATGAGTTCGCTTTTGATTTTTATAAATTTTAGACCATACGTTTCCGATTTATGGGGTTTTATTCATTACAAAAAGGGGGATTTTCCAGTTTGCGGACAATAACTCAAAAATGCTAAGCTTTCAGCATTTTTATGAAACTTTGGTGAATTGTTTATATCTATTCAGTATTGATGTAAGCTCCCTTTAGAATTTTATGAATTTTAGATTTTACATTTCCGAGTTATGGGGTTTTATTCATTAAAATGGTGATTTTCCAGTTTTGGGACAATAACACAAAAACAATTTCACCAATTTGCAAGAAACTTTGGTAAATTGTTTATATCTATTGTTGTAAGCTCCCTTTTGATATTTATAAATTTAAGATTTTACATTTCCGAGTTATAAGATTTTATTCATAAAAAAAGGGTTGATTTTCAAGTTTTTGGACAATATCCTTAAAGTGCTTAGAGCAGTTTTCATTAAACTTTGATGACTGATTTATATCTATTAAGATAACCTCCCTTTAGTTTTTTATAAATTTCTGATATAACATTGAGAAGTTATTGTTTGTTTATAGTCTGACAACAGATTTACTAAGTATTGCGCAACAGCACAGTGTATTGCACAACAGCAAGAAATCTTTAATTGAATATAAATTCAATTCATATAAGCAATTTCAAGTTCTCTGACTACATTGATTCAGAAACCTATAATATGTCAAATATTTAATTACAATCCAAATTCAGACCTGTATCAAGCTTGAATATTGTGTCCATTTTTGCCCCAACTGTTAAGGGTTGGACCTCTTCGGGTGTATCCAGCTGCACTCAGCGAAGCAGTTTATTTAAGATATGATATATAATTCACTTTTTCACATCTTGTTGATTGTAAGAGATTTCTAATAAGTATATATGATTGTGTCATTCATTTAATTAGAAAATTGAGTGTTCAGTTTAGTGTTTCTTTTTTTTCAGATATTCTTAGCAAGACAGATATTTATGCTTTGGATCTGCAGAAATATTATAGAATAAGGTAATATCATAACATAAAGGAACATGAACTGTGAGGGAGGCAGAGTTCTTGATATCTTTTTTCCCCTGGTGGTCCTTGAGGGAAATATGCTGGTTTTTCATACATTTAAAATCTAAGAAAAAAACAGACCTTCGAACAGATGTACTCCTAAAATAACCCCTGGTTTTCTGGAAATCTTTAATTATTAAACTATGGAGTGCATTAATCCTGAATTTTTAATGCAAACTCATAGACAAGTGAATTTTGCCTCAAAATGGTTTAAATATATTTCTCTTTCACCAAAAGTTTCATTTCTGCAAATTTGTTGGTTAGTTTAAGTAAACAATGACATCAAAGCACTATATTGTGTCAGAGTAGAGCTTCTTTTACATATGTTCTAAATTGGAGGGAGTAATTTGTGGTCTGACACCTAAATATCCCATTTTCCAAATAATGGCAATACATTATGTTTCTACTTGTATTTAATATCAAAACAGAGATATTGGCTTCACATAATGAAAATTTTATGATCTTGAGTTGTCTCAAGATCTCAAGTTGTTGAAAGTAATGTTTCAGTATATTACTTAAAATATATGAACTTTCAGATTAAAAACTGCACATTTTGAAATCATAGCCTTGGTAGTATTTTCATTGCCGAAACTTCAACTGCTGGCAACAGATAAAATTTTTTACCATGTTTTCGCATGTTTATAATTTTCCTTTGTCAACATGCTAGTCTCATCTTGCTAAGCTGAAAAATATCTTCAGTAAATATTATTCTGTATTTGTAGATATGATGGAAATATCACTGGAAATCAGGAAGATCTTTCAAGGTATAGCAATAGAATCTAGTAAATTGTTTTTTATACGACCGCAAAAAAATTTTTGTGGTCGTATATTGGTATGACGTTGGCGTCGTCGTCGTCGTCCGAATACACATTAGTTTTCGCACTCTAACTTTAGTTTAAGTGAATGGATCTCATTGAAATTTTACCATAAGGTTCAATACCACAAAAGGAAGGTGGGGATTGATTTTGGGGGTTATGGTACTAACAGTTAAGGAAAATGAGGGGCCAAAAGGGGCCAAAAATAAGCATTTTTGTAACTTCCAGACATAACTTGTGTGTAAGTGTATGGATCTCTCTGACATTGTACCACAAGGTTCCATATTACAAAGGGAATGCTGGGATTGATTTTGGGGGTAATTGTCTCCAAATTTTAGGAATTAGGGGCCAAAAAGGGGCAAAAAACAAGCATTTCGTCGTATCAAGCTGCGCCCCAGCGGAGCATTTTATTATAGGAAGACATAGGAAACATACTACAAAATCGCAACCATATATTCTTAAAAAATTAACACATCAAAGAAATATTTTAATTGAAACAAATGTGTTCTTTTTTCGATTATAGTGTAAACAGAAAAAACATGACTTTGATGTATTAAAAACATAATTCTGATTTCCAATCCTAAGTAAACATTACAGTAATGGTTGTTTGATTGAAGATTTTGTGATCATAATATATTTAGGGGTTTAAAGTGCCTTTCCTGTGTACAATATATGTTTTAATGGAACAGCTCTTGGGTGCTTACAGAGGATTGATATGAAATAATAATCTAATTTTCAGGTTTGAAAAGAAGTTATGTGCATATGAAAATAAGAACAAGATGAAAAGAATGGATAAAGACTGTGAGACTTTCATATCTTGTTTGATAGCAGCAAAGACCAAGGAGAAAAAGCTAGCACTGACTGCAATTCGCCAGCATGTTTCAGAGAAGCAGTATCTGTTGAAACTAATAAGGAAATATGCAAGTGAGGAGCAATTTAATGTTGTTAAGGCTATTGCAGCATTGTTTAAGGGGTTCGAAAGGCACTTGTTATTTAACCCATTTGCATTTGATTTTAATCTATTTAGTATACAGATTTGAAAAAAAAGGACAATCCTGCATTAAATTATAATAATGGTTCCTTCCCATCACTGGTATCTAAAAATCCATTTCATGTTTCAATCTTCAAGCAGTAGGCTAAAAGAAGAAATGAATGTCTTGTAGTTAATAATTATTATATTAAAAGAGTGTGTGTTTATTGTCTTTTATATTAACTGTACTTGGCAATAAATGAGTTTGTATAACTCATAATAAGCAGTGTTTAAATAGCTTCATTTCTATTTTCATTTCATTCCTTGTTAACTTAATTCTTTTTTTTATTTTGGTTTTAGAGGGGCAATCAATTTACCATCGACTTTCGAAACAGCTTAAGTGTGTCATCAAAAAAGAGAAGAAGTCAATAGATGGATACAACAAAATAGGAGAGCCCTGTTTTAACATGCCTCTGATTATTTGCTCTGATGATGTTAATACTGTTGAGAGCGAGATTTTCAATTGCCTAGGACAGAATCAAGGAAGCTCCAGAATACCATCAGTAATGAAACAGGAAATTGTCCAGTTGAAATGCCTTGTCACCAGATGTCAGGAAGAGAAAGAACTCCTAAAACAAGAAATGTCCTCGACTTTGAATTGGTACCAAGACCAACTCGTGAAATTAAGGAGGAAGTTGGGAGAACTTGATACTTCTGGGAGTTTCTCACTTCTTATACGAGAAGGAATGTACTTGGAAATGTTAATTACACATTTAAGTAATCTTTTCCAAGAATATATTGGAGATACATTTACTCCTCTACCTTTAATTTTAACAGAAAATGTAATGTCAGATGACCATAAAAAAATGTCTGAAATGTTGGCTTACCTGGCATCTGTTGAAGATTTATTAGTAGATGGAGATAGTGACAGTGATATAGAGAGTGACAGTGAAGATGAGAGTGACCGTGAGACCGAATCAGCTTAAAAAGTTCATTTTATGTGCTTTACTCTTGGTAAATGATATATAATTATAGGATTCACCCTGTCTGTTTGTCCACCCATCTAAATTTTTTTCCACACATCTTGTTTTTGCAAAACCTTTAAAATACCACTTTTATACAAATCTTGATAAGTTCTAAAATTAAACGACTTTTTCAAACCAGTTGAAGCTATCAGGGGCCTTATTCAAACAATATATTGAACATTAAACTTTTAATAAAGACATGTTTAACCCATCGTAAACACATCAAACTAAACATTTCAAATAACTTTAATTTGTCTTTAAAAATTTGATTCAGAAACTCAAAATTTTAAACGGGTTTTTTGCTGTTTGATCCAACATAGCTGATACGTAATGTTCAGTATGTGAAAGTTATTTAACATTTTGGAATAAACTGGATATCAAACAATTAACTCAGAAAAATGGAAGTTTGTTAGTTATTTGTCTATAAATTATTGTTTTAATAAAGAAAAATATTTAGAGCTACAGGATTTGATAAAAGATAACTTATTTTAAAATAGAGAATAAGCCTTTTAAGAATTGAGACAGCTATTGGAAAAAACGTAAAGATAGATCAGAGTGTCTGTTTAAATTCCTCTCTTGGTAAAGTTGAGGATGAGCTTCATATTTTGTTAGAATGTCCACTATATAATGTTAATAGAGATGTTTTTCAATATGTTTTAAACATTTTTTATAATTTTAAAACCTTAAATAAGTCTTCCAGATTTTTATGGATCTTGTCACGAAAAAGTTTATCTCTAATGAAAAGATGGACTGTTATATTGGCTAGTGTTTTGAATTAAGGAGATCAGGGCTGAATATTGATACTAGTAAATACGTTTATAACAAATGTATATAATGTAATTTTATCATTTAATTAAGCATTCATAAATTATGTGGTTGATGATTCTTGATTGATTCTTATACATGTATACTAAATTAACATGTACACTGTGATGTTTATTGCTGTATTAATTATCAAATATATCTAACAATTGTGATAGAATTTTATACCCGTAATGGGCCCTGTAATTTGGCAAATTAAAATATTTTATTCTATTCTATTCTTGTTGTATCAAACTGTAAGGTAAGTGAAAAAGAGTAGTACACAATTGTTTGGAAAAATCTTTGACGGTGAGTTACTGGAAGTTTGAAATAGGCCTAGAAACTATCATGCTGCAAGTTCACCAATTAAAAGTTACTAGTGGTTGTCGATACCAATACACTTTTAAAAAAAACTAGAACACACCCGTGACCTAATTAAAGTATATAACTATGTGAAAGCCTTATTGTAGCCTGGATTTCTAGTATTGTTATTGTCATCTGATAAAGTCATGCTGATTATAAGATGCACAGTTTTCTCTGCTTTCAAAATCTTTCTGTTTGAACCCGTCGACCTGGAACTTATCAATTATTGGTAATATTAATTATTTGGAAAACAAAAGGGCCTGGAATGGAGTAATTTTTAATCAACAGCATTGTCCTATATTAGTTAAAATAAAGTTGAATTCTTTGATTCGCTGTTTTACGTCATGCCGGCTAACAAATTGGAAACTGTAACTATGCCTTATTTTAAGTCTAGATTTTTAGTATTCGTATTGTCATCTTATAAAGTCATGCTGATTAAAATACTACAATAGGAAACAATGTGACAATGATGAATTTAGTAATGTCAACCCTGTGATTATGACCCGTGTATATAGCAAATCCTAAATACACTGTTTGGTGGTGCACCTGTCAGATGCAGAACATACAGATTAGTAACAGGTGAATATACTATTGGTATCGGTATCGGATTCGACCCGGAACTTGTTCATTATTGGCAATGTTAATTATGTCGAAAACAAAAGGGTCAGGAGTTGTGTAATTTTTAAGCAACACCATTGTCCTATATTAGCTATATATAAAGATGAAATCTTTGATTTGTCGTTTTTACCCCACGACGGCTAACAAATTTGACCTCGTTATTTTAGTATTATAGATATGCTTATTTATGACTTGTTAAACTTAGTTCCTTGGAATTGGGTAGGATTTATTTGGTAAATAAAGACTGAAATTTTAAATGTTGACTAAAATAACAAGTATACCGAAAATTCAAATCGAAAAGACTTTTTAAGTCCAGGATTGAATGGCAATATTAAAAGCTAGAACACGTCGAATGAATGGAAAACAACTGTCACATTCCTGACTTGGTACAGACATTCCTTGTGTAGAAAATGGTAGATAAAACCTGGTTTTATAGCTAGCCAAACCTCTCACTTTAATGACAGTAGCTTAAAATTACATTATATTGACAACAATGTGTAAATCAGACATAATTGGCAAAACTGTCCAAAATAAAAGTACAGCAGTCAACATAGAAAAACAAAATGGCATATAGACAATGCACATAAGCAAAAATGATAAGTAAAGAATACACAAAATGATCACAGCACAACACATTTGCCGGATGCTGAAGTACAAGATACAGGATTGAAAATTTGTATTTGCGTTAGATGTGCAACTACAAAAGACTTGTACTCGTCAGTGACGCTCGAATAAAAAAAAAGTTAAAAAGGCCAAATAAAGTACAAAGTTGAAGAGCATTCAGGAACAAAAATTCCGAAAATGTTTCACAGAGCCATGCATAATAAATATTGTCTTAAATGGACTAAACAGTAAAGGTTGATAATTTACAAAGAGAAAATTCGTAAGAACCACCGAATAAATTGAGAGAAAAAAACATGGCAGAAATTTTTTGAAAAATTATTTCTTTAAGACATGTAAGAAGGCACTTGATACTCGGGTGACTCCCTATTATAAGTTGTTACTTCGTGCTGATTAGCCATCCTACATGGCCGCAAGTTTAGAACTCAGTAAATAGAACAAGTTGGTGTACAAAGTAAAATGACCATGAACGTTTACTTCAATGTGTTTAATACCACTACAGGAATTTCATGTAAATAGATTTTGATGCTAGTCTGAAAAGATGTCTCGATTAGTATTTAAAGCACGAGTGCATTCAAATTTCCTAATCTGCATGAACATATGTAAACCAAAATACTGTTCACCAAGACAATATTTCATGACTATGTATCATGAAATATTGTCCTAATCTATATTAAACTGTCCAGAGGACAAAATTTCATTGTGGAATTTGGTCTGTATAAAGAAAATATTTCACATATGAATACTATAGATTTTTGACCTCCTACAGGGAGGTTATATTTTGTGTGTATTGAGACAATATTTCATAGACGGATTGTCATTTTATTTTGTCTCATGAAGGAAGGTTATCAACATATATCATGTTGTTGGATAATGATAGCATTAAAATGTTTTATTTAACAATCACAAATTAATAAATGGATACATGTTGAAATGCTCATCATGGATGGCAAGAAATACAAAACACTTTCGAATATGTCAGTCATGAAGTTATACAAGAGGAAATTTTTGAAAATCAGGAAGTTATCAGAAGGGAGATTAATTCATTCTGTTTACAAAGTAATCTGAAATTTATTCCGAATCTTCAGACAAGAAAATAAATGATGTTACAAAAAAAATTGTAATTCATGAAGGTAAACTGGAACGAGTTGCATATACTTGCTTTGCAGAATAATTTCAGTTATATAATTTTAAAAATGTGCATGCTGCATGCTTGTGATGTTTTTAATTTTGAAATAATTTGATTGGGAAATGCTTTCATGGACCATAGTGAACATATTGTCCTCCAAGGAATATTGCCCGTCGGACAAAATTTCATATAAGATATTGTCAGTGGACACTATTTCATAGTGAAATATTGTCATGGACAGAATTTCATAGTGAAATATTGTCCATAAGGAGATGACAAAATTTCATGGACAAGGACACGAAATAAGGTCCTGGGCAGTATTTTTTAATGAAGTAGTGACCGACGGACAATATTTTATGTTGCACATACATCAAACAAGTTGGGTACCTGGTAAAATTGTTCAACCTTTGAGAATGTTTAATAACTCATAAGAATATCATTGAAATGGGCATTTTTTTAAAGTTTACAGTCGACTTGGTATTCGATCAACGTCGCAAATGTAAAACTTTTCCCAAATTTTGATGGTTCAAGTACCTCTACAAGTCAAGTTCTGTGATTTTCGTGATTAAAGCTGTAAATGATCATAAAAAAGTATTTAACGCTTCAAAAATATCTCGCGCGGTCGCAATATGCGCACGAACGCCCTGAAAATGTCCAACACTGCATGTACATTATTTCGTAAATACTATAGATGTGCACCAAGTAAAACTATTCCACTTTCAGTATTGTTGAATCACTCAACTGAACATCATTGAAATGGGCTTATTGGTAGTCGATAAGAGACAAACGAGTTTTTGTAAAATTTGGCAGCATTTAATAGTCGATTTGGGATTCGATTGAGGTCGCCAATGTACGACTTTCCCAAATTGTGATGGCCTAATAAAACGAATTAGTCAAGTTCTGCGATTTCCGAGTGTAGAAGATGTAAATGATCATGAACAAACGCGCGTAATGCTTTAAATTTTCTGGCGGAAGCGCAATATGAAACGTGGAATAGTCTTACTTGGTGCACATCTATAATATTTACGAAAAAATGTACAGTGTTGGACATTTCAGGGCGTTCGTGCGCATATTGCGACCGCGCGAGATATTTTTGAAGCGTTAAATACTTCATATTGCGCACGAGCGCCATGATATTTCCTACACTGCATGTACATATTCAACAGGATGCGTTCCAAGTAAAATTATTCTACCTTAAATCTGCATGGAACAGCATATCTCGTCAATATGTATGTTCCTGCGTAAATATTATTGAATCAATCAACGTTACATCATTGAAATGGGCATATTGCTAGCCGCTTGGTCGAGTTCTGCGATTGGCAAGTATAATGCTGTAAATGATCATGAAAAAAACCCGCATGTAATGCATTAAAATTGTCTGGTACAAGCTTAATAGGCACACGAGCGCACTGTATGTACATAATTTAAACGTCAACTTATTCTACCTTCGATGTTGTAGAATCACTCACCAATATCATTGAAATGGGCTTTATGCTAGTCGAAAGACCGTTTGGTAGGTGAGAAAAGTTACATTTTTTAAAGGTGACAGCATATAACAGTCAACTTGGGCTTCGATTAAGGTCGGCAATGTAAGACTTTTCTCCAATTTTGATGGCTTAATTACCTATTCTGTTCTGTACAGGTATTTTGTGAAGTAATGCGATTTTCGAGTGCAGAAGTGGTAAATGATAATGAAAAAAAAGTTTTTTTTTAAAACACTTCAAATTGTCTGGCGCAAGGTAAATATGTGCACAAGCGCCCTGGAATTTCATACACTGCATGTACATACATTAAACAAGGTGTGTACGAAATAAAAAATTCTACCTTTGATATTGTTGAATCACTCAAAGCAATATCATCGAAATGGGCTTATTGCTAGTCGAAAAGAATCTTCGGTAGGGAATAAAAAAACATTTTAAAACTTGACAGCATATAAAGCTGTAAATTATTATGAAAAAAAACGTACGTAATGCTTTAAAATTGTCTGGAGCAAGCTATTAGCGCACGAACGCCCTGGAATTTCAAACACTGCATGTACATAAATAAAACAAAATGCGTACCAAGTAAACTTATTCCACCTTCAATATTGTTGAATCACTTCAACGGAATATCATTGAAATATATGTAGGACTCGGAGGTGCGATGGGGACACTGAAGTGCGATGGTCACGCTGAAGTGCGATGGTCTACGCCGAAGTGCGATGGCCCTTTCACTGAAGTGCGATGGTTTTGCATGACGTTTGGATATTATGACTTTTCTAAATACAACGTTATTATACTAAATGGATTCACAGGCATGAGGATAAGATTTGTAGATGAAGGTTTCATGCGTACAGAGGAAACAGACTGAAACCAACGATTCAGGTCCCGCATAGTTTTGAGTATTAGAGGTGGAGGTTACAAAAATATGTAAAACTAAGTCAGACAGCAAACCATGGGGAACCAGGCGGCTAAAAGATGATCTTGGTCTGCAGATGGCAGTGGCGGATCCAGAAATTTTTATA